ACCTAAATTCCTGAAATTTTCTGTACTTTCTATGTTCCAAGATAGTTTATTATAATTATGTAAATGCAAGTATGGGCTAAATAAAAATAATTGGCAGCTAATTTTTAAATATGAGCATAAAAAAATCTATCAGTGTTAGGTTGTTGAGGTTTATTTATTGTATGGCACTTTGAATATGTCTAAAAAAGACAAATAGAAAATAGGAAAATACTTTTCAGGTAAACTGGAGAAAACTGAAATCTCTGGTTCCTTTATAATGTCTAAAAACATGGCATCTTAGTGTAATGGACCTTATAGATTCTCTGGCTCAATTTCTATTCAGGAAGACCTTTTTTGATATTTGATAAGTGAGACAGAAGAGTGAAGTTTGGGTAAACAAAGAACATAGGAAAAGATGAAGAAGAGGCCATTACATTTTGAAAGGTAAGGCTTATTTGTAAAAATAGTTAGCAGCATTAAGATTCAGATAAAAATATATCCTTATAGAAGTCAAACTAGTACTTACATCGCTAACAATGTCTCTTGAAGCTTTGGCCAACTGTACAGAAATTGCATCAACAGGGAGATCATAACCTTTCTTCAAAGCTTCTTCCCATCCAAGTTTATAGAGTTTCTGAAAGTTAAAGAAACCATTTAACATCATCCAGTGTATATTAAAACCTCAACAGATTGCTGAACAAAAATTCACCTAGAGAATAGAGATCAGACTCTAACGTCATCTACCTTATCTCTAAAGATAGGGATAAAAAGAAAACAAGCTGTTTAATAGGGCACTGACTTAGCATCACATGATCTGGCTTCAATTTTTTTGGTTCTGAGACCTGCTCCCTCCTCAGTTGTATAACTGAGGGTGACCTTTTCTGTTCAGACACAATAAGGGCATATCAGGTATGTCAGGTACCTTCCCCCTGCTATGTACAGTCTAGGCTCACTGTTTTGAACACAGGTGTTAAATTAATTGATAAAAAAAAGTCAGGCAAGGAAATATTTATTATCTAAGTGATAAAAGTAATAGATGATGAAATATATCTATTATAAGGTACAATAAATGAGTTAAATTTTTAGAGTCAAATTCATTGAATGGATGCATATGTGTGAAAACTGGATGATAATAAAAACAGCTGAAAGTCATCCAGTATTTACTATGTGCCAGGCACTCTGCTGAGAACTGTACATGGAATTTCTCATTTGGTCCTCACGGCAATTCAATGTCATAGGCACTTTTGTAGTCCCAATTTTAGGGATGAGGAAATTAAAGTTTAGACCAAATATCATACAGCCTATAAATGGCAAAGCCAAACTCATACCATGTCTGTTTGATGCAATATTTTCTCTCAACAATTATTTATTGATTTCGTATTCTGTGCCAAATACAATGAGTACTGAGAAAAACAAAGCAGGCACAGTACCTGCCTCCGTGGAACATACGGTCAGAGCTGAAGCTCTTGCTTTTAACCACATAATTTGCAACATCCCTAGGCTAGCTGATTTAAGTCATTCATTTCCATTTTTTTCAGCATTTACATCAACTACTTACCATTACATCACTTAATAAGGTTAATGAGTTTCAAGTGAAATGTTTATGTAACTTTACCTGACTGTACTGTGCTTGATTCTGCTTGGCTTGTAAAATATCTGGTGTATCGGGCATCACATGAATCTTGGTTTTGTCTTTGTTCCAATCAACAGTGTATAAGTGCTAGGAAGTTAAAAAAAAAAGACATTTGAAGTTAGAATAACTTTTTAGGACAAACCAGAACAACTTTTTAGGATGAACCAGAAAGAAAACAATATAGCAGAGTATTTTAATGCACACAATTTGAATTAGATTCAATTAATTTAGTAACTAAAGTAGAATATAATTCAGAAACAAAACACCAAAAAAAACTCAGATCTTAAAAAAATAATCTTTTAGGTACTTTCTGTCTTCTAGAATGGATCAGAAGTACTTAGGATACAATAATTTTTTAAAAAACAAATAATTTCTAACTCAATTAAAGGGCAGAAGAAATAAAAATAAGCAGTAGGCAGCAGAAGAAAGCAGTGTAGGGGCATTCCCTGGAGCTGTTTGCCACTGCCTAGAAGTGGTGGACCCAAATGAAGTTTCCCAAACAAGAACCAGAGGCTGCTAGCCCTGACTCGCTGGGAGCCATATGGAAGCGGGGCTGTTCTACCTTGTTCATTGTTTGTGCATTCTGCTTGGCAAGAACCATGTCCATGGAGTCAGTCAGCTTCTTAAACTGGAAGTTGCTAGGGTGCTGGCGGTATTTCTGATCACTGGCATATTCGGTTGCTTTCTTGGCTTTCTCCACTTCTAGGGAACCAGCTGGACTCCAGCCAAGCCCTTTGTACCATTCGTTGTAGTCCTGTTTGTATTCATTCTATACAGAGAGGAGGCAAATCTACTTTACCTTATCAATTTAGACACAAAAGTGTGGCATAGAAGACTGTGATCTCCCTTCCCATGCTAGGAATCCAACCATCACCCAGAAAGAAGAGAGCCTTACATCACTCTGTATCTGATTCATAGTCTTGCTCAGCTGGATGTTCATGGCATCTGGAAGGAGGATGTACTTGTGAATCAGGTGCTTGTAGTTGGTGTTGGTGATGTTGGCTTGGGCATCCTTGGCGGCCGTGACACTGAGCATGTCGGCAGGGGTGTGGTAGTTGGTCTTTGTCTTCTCATAGTTTTTCTTATACTCCCGATCGGATTGCATCTTAGCCACTTTCATGGAATTGACTAATTTGGGATCATCCTCAAGACTGCGGAAACCAACCATTTTCCCCTTCTCTTTTTCATAATTGTATTTGTATTTATACTGTGAAGAAAATTCTAGTGTCAACATTCTGTATTTCATAAAAAGTTATATTTATAGCAAACTCTACAGTTCACAAAACACATTTTTCACATTTACTTGTGTAACTTGTTACAACTATACTTTGTGAGGTAGATAGCAAAGTTATTATTACTTCTCCCATTTCGTAGATTAGTAAGCTGAGAACCAGAGAGGTTAGCGACTCGCTAAGGTCACTGAAAATTAGAACCCGGGTCTTGTGATGATACACACACTGACTCCCATACATATTCTGCTGTTACTTTTAAAGAGACCTTTAGTAGGCAATAAGAGTAAAACAAATGAAAGAAGGAAGTAGAATGTTCTAAGCAGCTAATGCTTCCATGAAATCACCTAGTCTTTTACTGATGAGAATAGGCTCAGTTATGAGATACGTGGTATAATTTTAGAGTAGCTTTATAGTTGTGGAGCTTCTTTTCTTTTAAGACTCTCTATACTGGTATAATAAGGAAGAAATTTTACTATTTGTCACCCAACTTTCCTCAATAGAGGAGAGATACTGATACATGGATATATCTGCCTATGTCTTGTGGGCTTGAGTGTGCAAGTTAGGGGATAGGAGCTGGGAGAGCCAAATTCTTCCAGCATAAGAGAGGGAGGAGAATCTGGAGTTCTCAGGACAATGTAGGAGTGAGATAGGGATGAATATGTAGGAAAGATGAAGAACAGTGATTGAGGAGAAGAGGCAAAGTATAACGGGGGTGGCTAAGGAAAGAGTGCTCTGAACTATGCACCTCCAATTACACCTGAATCATTAAATACTCACTGTGAGTGGATTTCTTGTGGAAACAACCAAATGAAAGAATTGAGTTTCAAATAGGTGATGTGGTATGGCAGTGATGTGTTGGCACACCAGCTCTCTTGGGAGGAAAAGCCCTAATTTGTAGCGTTTGTCAATTCTGTGGTATAAATACTCCCACCACGGCTGATGTCAACCATCAACAGTTTAACAGCTTGTTTCTAAAATTTCTGATTATTTAATAAGCAGCTGTCCTGAGCTCAAAAGGTCAGCACTTCCAGCATACCACTTCATGAGACATCCTGCAGGAAGACAGATCCTAAGAGGCAGTAAGAACAACACAAGTCTTCCACCAAAAAAATCTGGTGAATGGTTTTGGATTTCTACAGGCCACAGCCTTGGTGATGGAGTTCAAAGTGAACTCACCTAGGTCTCATGAGTCAGGGAGCAGACATCTATGTGGTCATAATGTGGGTAGCATTCTGTTTTTTTCAGAAATGCCAGAGAAAACAAAAGAGCAAGGTAAGAAGCATTCACAGACTAGAAAGAGGCTATTGTTAGCAGGCACACATTTTCCCATACTTTATCCACTGAGTGTTTCCAGAACTCAACCCTTATTAATTTGGCAAATTAGAACCCCCAAGCCAGGTGACGTCACTTCAGACTTACATCACTTGCAATATCTCTTGAGGCCTTGGCAGCTTTGATAGGAATTGCATCCGTTCTGAGATCGTAGCCTTTCTTTTTCGACTCTTCCAAAGAAAGTTTGTAGAGTTTCTGTAAAGAGAGGCAAAGGAATAGTTTTCTTCTAAATAGGAAAGCCTGGATTTGTTTTGAAAGAGTAGATTAGCACTGTGGCATCATTTTCATTTTTGAGCAGAATGTTTCATTGGTGGTTCAACAGCAGAATGTTCTCACAAGAACATAATTGTGGTTGAAAAAAAAAATCCATTACAAACTCAAACATATCTTCAAGAAACCACGAGAAAAGGTAAAAGTTCCTGGTCTCTAGTAGGTTGTAAATATGCTTTTTAAAAATGGGAAAGCCCAGTAGATTGATGCATTTTATCAAATAAGAGTCAAGAGACGACTATAAAACAGCCGTACTTTTACATAAAAACTTCATTGTTTCGCAATTGACACTTTTATTTATTTAATTGTGCGGATTCTACAATCCAAAAAGAAGTCAGCAACCCCAAATCCCTACATAATTGAAACAAAACAAACAAACAAACAAAAAAACTACTGGTAGGATTAGAGGATTTCCTGGCAACTATGGTTAGGATGAGAAAGGCAGTGAAGTAAAACACCTATGATTTTCTAACATTGTTGCACATTTCTTGTTATGAGCCTTGCCCCCAAAATTTCAAAATGTTCATCTTCTCTTTCCATTTAGCTTTCCCCAAGACCCCCTCTTAGAAACATCTCAAAAGCTTGGTGGAAGGGCTAAGAACAAAGTCCTAGGATGGTCACTTCCTTTTTCTCTTCTACTGGGCCCAAACCTTTCTCTTCCTGCCAAGTCTCTTATTTGAAAAGGAGGACCTGCCCCTAAAACAAAAATCCACATACCCTTCAAATTCCTAATTGCTGAGCCCAGGTCCCATCAACAGGCTGACTTCAACTCTTAGCAAAGCAAGATAGAAAGAGGAAAATTCTCGGTGGTGGAGCCCCACTCTTAGTTTCAAAAGATTTACATTCAACATTGAGACATATGAATTTATGAATTTGTTTACTGGTTCAAATAGATGGGGAAAGGTGGCCACAGGGGGATTACACTTACATCACTCATGTTAATTGCATTTGTCTTTGCCAGAACAATCTGGGGGATGTCAGGCATGATGTGGACCTTGGTCTTGTCAGCCTCCCATGCTTCTTTGTAGAGGCGCTAGGAAGTAAAAACAAACAAGCAAACAAAACCCAGTACAAGTTAGTATTTAAAATCTTAAAAGAAGCCTCGCTTAGTACACAGATATCGTTGTACATAAATATCAATATTTTATGTATTTTTATTAGCTAGATATTATTAAGTTTTTATAAAATTTACATGGAAAAGGCTCTCATTCAAACTAGACAGTGAAGAGTATGTAAAGAAAGAAAGTAAAGTGTCCTATCCTCCTATTTGACAGCCTGGAGAAAGCATCTAAAATTTTCTATACATATTAAAACCCACGTATAGTTCTTTTTAAATATAAATGAGGTCATACAAAAAGCATAATGTTTTACTCATATATCTTGCTTTTATTCCTTAATAATATAGGTGCGACATCGTTTAAGCTTCTTAAAATAATTTACTTCATTCAAAGAGCTGTGTAGTGTTCCATGAGGAGGTGTAACCCAATTGATTTAACACATTCTCTACTGACAGGCATTTAATTTGTTTCCAGTCTTTTTATGCTACAAGCCATGGTGCCATGATCTTTGTCTTTTGAAGATGCGACACCCAGACACCCATTCAAGGAAGGGCCTGCTGCCCCAACTCTTGGCAGACAACCTCCAGCTGTCACCTGTTTCACGGTTTACTGCCTCACTCAAGAGCGCTCCCTTCCCTGGTGGCCACATCCAGTGATGTATCACAGTATGAGCATAAAGGCCTGGCCATTCTGTCCAATGCAGGACATGCCAGGCGCGGTGTGTCCACTTGAGAGCCCTCTGTGGAACAGGCCGGGGCTCCGTAGGGCCTGCATCACAGTTAGTCTCACCCTGCCCAGTTCTCCCTCCCATAGGTACTGAATCCTCAAAAATACTCTAAATTCCGTCTCAGCATTTCCTTTTGGCGACTTTAACCCACAAAATATATTATTGTGTATATGTATCTTTGCACATACATAAGGGTTTCTGTAGGGTATTGGGCATGTGAATATTTAATTTTAACAAATATTAACAAAATGTTACTAGAAGTTCACATTAGCATAAACTCCCTTGCCAATACCGTATATAATACAACTTTTTTAATTTTTGTAAATCTGACAGGTGAAAAATGCTTTCTTTATTTCAAACAAGTCTAATTAGAAAACAAACACAACTTCTACAGCCTTCTTCTAGACCAGGGGTTTGTAAACTTTTCTTGTAAAGGACTGAATAGTAAATATTTTAAGCTTTGTGGGCCAGAGGATCTCTGTCATTAACTACTCAGCTCTGCTGTTGTAGTGTAAAAGCAGCCATAGACAATACACAAAATTTTAATTAATTTAAATGCAAATCGTCACATGTGGCTAGTGGTGATAATATTGGATGGCACAATTCTAACGGAAAGAGCAACAACCAGGCATCAGACTTTAATTCTAGTCCAGACTCAGTCGTTGACCTGCTGTGTGTCTTTAGGGGAGATGCCTTGCCTCTCTGGGCCATGATTTCCTCAACTCTGCTATGAGAGGATCCAACCTGATGATCACCAAGGTATCTCTCAGTGTTAGCATTTGCTATTTCTATGATTCTCATCTTGGCATCATTATTCTGAAATGGTAATCATTAACATTGAAAAAAATAAAAGTTTTTATTTAATGTTTAAAAGATAAATATATGCTTGTAATAATTTAAATGCCAAACCTTAAACGGGGCACTGAGATTTGTGCCTTGTCTTTTAGGCAAACCCTTTTCAAGGAGGTTGGTCTTCTTGGCAATTCCATTTTCTGTCTGAGAAGACTCCAGGGGATTTACTCAGAGGCTTAGCATAATACAGCTTTATCTTTCTAGTGCAAATAGGACCATCATTTTTCTGCAACTGTTTGATGTTAAAGTCCAAATAATTTTTCCCCTTCTTGCTAATCAATGACATTGCAAAATTGCAGTCCACCCAATATAACCAATGCTACTGGCAATTATTCTATTATTTGTAACTTAGAAGCAGATGTCCATGTTTGATGTGCTTTTGGTCCTGATATCATCTTATGGCTAAGGAATGTATAAATACAGTACAGCTTTTCTAAAGGATGGAATAATTAATGATCCACAGAGCTACTGGTGGAGAACAATCGCTCTCATGATTGCCCAGAGAAGGTGCTGGCTCAGAATGCTGCTTATAGCCACGTGATCTAGGGGTTGGCTTTGATACCATCAAAGTAGCTAGGAAGCAGGGTGGGTGGGCTGCAATACCCAGCTGTTATCAGGCAAACACTGTTGATTCCACATTGTGAACATCTACTCAACTTCACCTTAGACAAAAAGGACTCGTTCTCAAGGTGTGCATTAAAAGAAAGAGCCCATATTTATTTTTTTATGTCTATTGTGTAGGGTGGTTCATCGAACATTTGGAGGGCGACTAGTTAGGACTCATTCCTATCTTTTTTTTTTTTTTAACTCTAAGACCCCTTTTCAAGGTAGAGTAAACATTAATTATGATGCCTTAAAACTGTTAGCAAAACCTGTAGATTAAATGTTTAAGATGTGCCTGGCTTTTCCCTGATGCATATGAGATACTACATCATTAAAGACTTACTTCATTCATAATTTTTGCATTATTCTGGGCCAAAACCATGTTCATTGAGTCCATCAGTGTGGAATACTTCAAAGTGTCTGGGTGTTGGCGGTACTTCTTTTCACTGATAATCTCCATGGCTTTCTTGTTTTTCTCAGCCTCCAGGGAGCCCATAGAGAGCCATCCAACGCCCTTTATGAAGTCATCAAAGTCAGCTTTGTACTGATTCTGCAAAAGGAAAAGTTCAGGATGAGAAGAAACCAAAACTTCTAAGAACCACGAGTGGGTATTTAATATCCAATAAGTTCCACTTCAGTTTTCAACCAATAGTATATTGAACTTCAGTGATTTTTATCCCTAAACTTTGTATTTTTTATATTTTCTTGATGGGAAGTTAAAAATAAGCACTGATATCTTTGTGATTTGTTTTTCTCAATGCCCTCATGAAAAAAAAGTACTAATAGATAAATGCCAATTAGATTAATCTACCATGTGACTATTATTTCAAGGAAGGGGACTATGCTGGCCTAACTTTCTTACAAAAATTCCCAAGTTCCCTTGGTTAATAGGTGACTTATGTGGACCCAATTTCTCTCTTTAGCTATGGCTTTGATCAGCCACCACTGTTACAACTCCCTCAGGTATATCAGAAACCTCACTGATATTTTCTGCAAATTTCATTTTTCTCCCCTCAACTCTGACATTTTCCTCTACAACTGTACATGGCTGCTTTCATTGGGGCACTTAAGTACCTGCCTGGCAATTCATAGCTTAGCTCTTACATTCCCAAAGAGAAATATAGGGTTGGCATGGCCTGCTTTTAGTTCATAATTTAAATTCACTTCCTCAGCCACCAAATGTCCTCTATAGTTGAATCCTTGGCTCTCTACAGTCTGCCTTCCTCACTGTCATTCAGAGAGCTGCCTCAGCCATCACCTCTTTAATTTTTCCTCAGTAAGTAAGATAGGCAGTTACGAAGTTGGATGTAGTGAAATGAAAGCTGGTTAGGAGTGAGCAACAAGAGCTAACAAATCATCTCACTTTCTGCATTCCCTCTTACTCTTTTATCAGGAGGCTTTCATGCCTCTGACTCTTTTTGTTAGACATGTTTTCTCCAACACATTCTTTCCGAAGCCAAATTTCATGTGCTATTGCCAAACCCAGCATCCAACAATGCTCAAAGCAATAATAGTAGAACATAAGACTTTAGCTTCTAGAATCGATGCCCCTTTTAAAAAAAATAAATAAATAAGTTCAATCTAAGGTGAAAAAATGAAACACCTCACTGGGAATTTACACATGAATTTTTTTCAGGGTTTTCAAAATGTCATTGTTTACGGTCATTCATTATTTGCTTATTATCCAGAGGAAATGCTCTGCAAACAGTGTGGTTGTCACGTACATCACTTTGAATCTGCATCATGTTTTTGGCCAATTCAAAGCTCATGGCATCGGTAAGCATGTTGTAGGTATGAATCACATTCCTGTAGTTGGTGTTGGAGGCTACTTCCTGAGACTTCTTGGCTGCCACCACACTGAACATGTCCACTGGGGTGTGGAAGGACGTCTTGGACTTCTCATAGCCCTTCTTGTATTCCCGGTCTGACTGCATCTTGGCCACCTGCATGAAGTGCACCAACTTGGGGTCGTCCTCTAGACTCCGAAAGCCGATGTGTTTCCCTCTGCTTTTTTCATAGGCTTGCTTGTATTTGAACTGTAGACAGAAAAGAAAGCACGGTGATGAACATTGTGGAGGTAAGAGAACAAAATATAATTCACTAGGTGTCATCAGCTTTGTCATAGGTGGAGAGTTTTAGAGCTACTCGAAAATTAGAAAGAAAAGAGCTCAGAGAGGACAGGGAGCAAAATCTTGCTTCACATTTCTTGCCAGACTTGAGTCCATGGAAAGAAAATGATCTCAGAGTTAATCACAGAGATGTGGAAATAAGTCATTTTAAGGTGCTTTAGAAAGCAGCTTTTCACACTCAGCTGTCTAACCAGCAGAAAAGGCTGCAGGCACGATTTTGCATGGTATACCTTTAAGCTCAGGACAGAGGTTGGTCATGGGTCTCTTAGTAAAATCTGTAGTTTGCATCCCTGTGTTTGCTTAGAATTGCCTATACATGATACTCTAAAAGCAACTTGTTTTAACAAGACCTGGCCATTTTTTACATTAAATAATGAACAAATTACTAGAGGGTCCTTGGACTGGGTGAAGGGATGTGTCTTGTGTTTTACATGGGATGACAGTCCCACCAACACCAGGTATGGCTGAGTGCAGCTGCTGAATACACACACAGACTTGGTTCATTTGCTCTTATTTGCTCAGCCTAAAGAAGGCCCAGTGGAAGTACTTACATCACTGGCAATGTCTCTAGAGGCTCTTGCAGCCTTGATTGGGATGGCATCTGGCCTCAGGTCATATCCTTTCTTCTTTTCTTCTTCCCAGCCAGCTTTGTACAGTTTCTAAATAACGAAATTGAAAAACATCAGCATCTTGTTATTTGGGTTAGAACGGGGATTCTGATTTCAAAGTGGTTGGCACGTAGAAGACAGATATTCCATAAATATTAGTTCCCTTCCACTTCTCCCCCACTTTTGTTGTTGTTTTTGTTAATCTACTTACATCACTCATGGTGATTTGGTTTGCTTTGGAGAGTAAAATGTCTGGTGTATCAGGCATCACATGAATGGTGGTCTTGTCTTTGTTCCATTTTTCAATGTAGCGCTTCTACAACAAGAAGGGCAGGCACATGATTGTACAGCAGGACAATTTTGTAACAGAGCCATCAAGAAGACACTTACAACTTCAAGGTAGAAGAGGTTAAACCTGCTACTGGAAAATGAATGAAATAGCAAGATGGGCTAATGAGACTAGACACTTGATGAGGAAAAAAATGACCAAACAAGGGAGGCCTTTTCCACTGAAACAACAAATACCATCTTGCCCCAACCTCACACTATGTGGGTTTTGTGGTTTTGTCACATCCTCAGCATGTCACACCCTCTCATACCCAAAGGTTGGTATGAGAGCTCTCTGGACATGATAAAAGTTATAGACTGCCCCTCTCACCAACACCACAACCAGGACCATCAGAAAGATTAAAATGCTGACAAAGATCATCGTGGCACTGCCAAGCTCAGTGGCATGAGCACTGTGAGGGTTCTCAGGCTGGGGTTAGCAATTGAGCTCTTACCTTATCCATAGTCAGTTTGTTACTTTTGTTAAGTTCTTGCTCCATTGTGTCCATGGAGTACGTGAACTTCAGCTTCTCGGGGTGCTGGCGATACTTCTTCTCACTAAGAATCTCTCCTGCTTTCTTTGCTTTCTCCACTTCCAGCGACTCTATTGGGACCCAGCCGATCCCTTTCATCCAGCCGGTGAAGTCGGATTTGTATAGATTCTTTACAACAAAAAAGGACATTTTCATTTCAGAAAGAGTCAGGGTTTGGGTTTCTTTGCCTAGATGACTTACTCATTATCAAAATGAAATAAAAAAATAGTTTGGGGAGAATAACCTGCATTTTATGCCCTATCATCTTTTGGAACAAATTTAAGAATAAAAGTGATGACATTCATGGTGGTTTTGAAAAGGAAATTCTGGCTCAATAATCCCTTTAAAAAATTAACTTTGTTAGGAAAGAGTGAACAGAATTTTGCACTGGAAAGCATATTATATAGCACCCATTTGAACCTCTTAGTTTTTAAAGAATACATCATACATTGGGTCCAACATCCAAAGTTTAAATACACACAAACACACACACACACACACAATTCCTAAAAGAAGCTACATATAGTTCAAATGCGTAAAATCCTAAAACTCCAAATTCTGGAGATAATCCCTAATTACAGTGAGCCTAGTCAGGGTTCAGATGGAGTGAGCAGAATTGCTGATTTCTTGTTCTTCCCTCCCACGGGCTAGAAATGAATAACTAATTCTACACCGACAATCAGTTGACCATTGCATACATCACTTTGAATCTGCATTGCATTCCTGGAGTGCTCTATAGGCAAGGCATCGGGCAGCAGAGTGTAGCTGTGGAAGGGTTGTTTGTAGTTCATGTTGGTAGCAACCTCCTGAGATTTCTTGGCCGCTGTCACACTGAACATATCTAATGGTGTGTGGTACTTGGTCTTGCTGGCTTCATAGCCCTTTTTGTACTCCCGATCTGACTGTATTTTGGCTACGTTCATGTAGTGCACCAGTTTAGGATCATCCTGAAGACTGCGGAATCCAATCTGTTTGCCTTTGGCTTTCTCGTAGGCCTGTTTATATTTGAACTGTGGGGAAAAAAAGGGCAGACAGAAGTTTGATAGGGTGGGTTGCAGGAAACACTGAAGTGTTAAATTGAATTTATATAAAAAATTTAGCAGTCGCCAAATGCAGTCTGAATATAGTGTTTTAGCATTTTTAAATAAACAACAAGCAAAATATTACTGATAGATGGTTTTGATATCTGCTCTGGGGATAATTAAGAGTGGAATAATTTATAGTTTATATCTAGATTACTCATAAGTAGATTTCTTGAATATATTCAAGTGTTCCTGAAAAGTTTATTTATTAAGGATTTGGTGTATTTTTTAATTATCTGTTTCCATTATTAATTTGCATTCCCTTATTAAGTATTTGCATAATCATGAGTAAATTTCAGCCAAGTTCTTATACAAATTAATGTATTGGACTCCAAATGAATGAGTTTTTACTTTATTAGGGTATTATATCAATTCATATAAAAAACATAACTTAATTTCTAAAAAGTAATTAATGAATTAACTAAAATTCTGTTACTTAATCTATAATTCTACCTGGTTTTCCATATTTCACCAAATCTTTACTTTTGGAAATTACATTATTAAAAATACTTGGAGACCTTTCCAATTTAGCGACATTTTAGTATACCAAGGTTATTTTTCTTGACAAAATTCAAATGAAAAGCAGTTTCCAAGTCCATAGCAATGACACTAATAAGCATTCCAAATTTTTCACAGTTTAAAACAAGAATTTTCTTTGTAACAACTGTATTGAGCTTTTCAAGATTCTAAAGTATGGCAATATAAAAAAAATCATTGTAACTTAGGATATTAGAAAATATTTTTAGAACTTTTTATTTGCCTCCTAATATAGGTCATATAGCCTCACATACCATGTAAAAAAAATTTTAAATATAAAGAAAGGAAGTTTACTACTTTCAAATTAGACTTACATCACTTGCAATATTCCTCGAACTTTTTGCAGCAACAATTGGAATGGCATCTGTTCTCAAATCATAGCCCTTAGCAAGGGTTTTCTTCCAGTCTGCTTTATAATAAGCCTTGAAAAAAAGAAAGGTTATTTTATTACTTGATATAGTTAAAAGACGAATGAAACAGGATGCCAAAATCTTTCTTATAAACATGTCATAATATACCCCTTTCTATTAAGAGAATTCACAAAGTACTCCTATTAGTTCATCGGTAGTGTATATATCAGATTTGTTTCTAAAACAATCATTAACTAATACACAGTATGATCTCAGCTGCTTTAAAAATGTATATGTTTGCATAACAAAGCAACTGAAAGGTAATACTATGCTTTGAATGTGGGATAACAGATTTTAAATTTTTTTCATAATTTTCTATATTTTCAACTTTCTTATAATAAGCATGTGATATTTTTCTTTTCTGTTTCTTATAATAAAGCATTTTAAATGTATAGAAAGATATGGATACTAAAATAAATAATTCAGCTGCAGTATAACCCAGTTTTAATTAACCTCAATGTTTAAATATTACATACAAAAACAGGAGGAAATTTTTAAATAAACCAAAAGTGTAAAAATGAGTACTAAAAAAATGTTTATTTAGAGATAGAAATAGAGTCTAAAATGTTAGGAAGAATAACTAAGGCATCTTTTAAAAAATGAACAATTTTATCCAGGTTTGATTATGTTTTTAAATTAGAATTTATCAACTTCTTTTTTTTAAAAAAAGAAAGGAAAACAATTTATAATAGTGAATTTAAACATCACCACCAATTACATACCTAGATTACCTAAAAGAAGCTAGTTACATACAAAAAAGAGTTTCTAAAGAAAATTACAATAAACTTTTTTAGAAGTTTTAATAAATAACAGGAACAAAAGTTAAGTAAAGTAATACTGTCCTTAATACAGACTATGCACTACTGTATTTTCCCAATCTTGTATATCTTGGTTTGTTCCACTTTATAAAAAATGGAACATAGCCTACTAGGTTGATTTTATAACCCACTCATGAGTCAGCGCCCAGTTTGGAAAAGTCTGCAGTAAGCAAAATTGTGTGGTAGCCTCTAGTCTCATATTCTATGATATGAGTCCAATTTGAAGACTGTTGGTTGGCCCCTGTACACGGAGGGCAAGGAGAGACTGCAGAAAGAGGCAGGCTGCTCCAGATTGGTAGGTGCAGGTTTAATAACCAAGAGAACTTACATATGAGGCTTGGTTTAGGTGGCCTCATAGTAGATCTCTGTACCTGCTGGCCAGAATCTTAAAAGTTTATATAGAGGCCTTAACGGGGTTCAGCCCCTTATACCATCCAGATGGTCTCAATAACACATTGCTTTCTGAAGGCTGAGCTCTTGAAAATGGCTCCCACTGTGGAAACGGTAGGCAGAATATGCAATCCAAGGAGAGGCAAGGGCCAACTGGCTCTCACATCTTTGTGACCTCCTCCAACAGAGACTCACAGGGGCCACAGTCAGCTTATTGCCCTTAAAATTCTCAGTGCTACAGTTACCCAGAACTGGGAAGGAGGCATCCGCATTAGCAATATGCAACTGGCATCAGGACAAATACTCACATCACTCATGTTGAGGGCGTTGACCTTGGCTTGAATAAACTGAGGCAATTCAGAGTCTATAGTGTACTTGTGCTTCAGTTTCTCCCCCTCCACCTTGTAGTTCAACTGAAAACAAAGCAGACAGCATGCAAATGTCATTAACTGACATAATGTAAGTTTCATCAAACACACACTCCTTTAAAAAGGAAGGCTGTCATTTGTGCTTCTCCATGTACAGGCCTACCCCAGGGATATTGTGGGTTTGGTTCCAGACCACTGCAATAAAGTGAATATCTCCGGAAAGCAAGTCACGTGAATATTTTAGTTTCCCGTGCCCATAAAAGTTATGTTGACACTATACCATACACTATTAAGTTTGCAAGAGCATTATGTCTAAAAAAGTATTCATAACCTAATTAAAAACTACTTTATTGCTAAAAAATGCTATCCATCATCTGAGCCTTCAGTGAGTCGTAATCTTATTGCTGCTGGAGGGTATTACCGTCAATTTGTAAAAAAGGCAATATCTGTGCAGCGCAAAAAAGTGAAGCACAATAGAACGAGTCATGCCTGTACAAGGCACATACCTAAACTATCACACAGAGGGGGAGTTTGTAGACACATTCATTTACTCGTTTCATCAACATTTATTGGACAGCACTCTGGGCTAGGTAGGGTGGTAGGTTCTGTGTTTAAAGGATTGAAAATAGGCAGACCTGTCCTTTTGGCGCTCACAGCCAAGTAGAGGAGACAGAGAATAAACACATAAACTATAAGGCAGAGCTAGAATTTGTGATGTGTTGTAACTAAAATGTCTTTAGGGAAGAAACAAGGGTGGTCAGCAAAGGGCTCTCCAAGAACGTAACATTGAAGAAAAGGGAGGGGTCCAGGCAGGAAAAGAGCATTCAGGGTCCTCAGTTTGGAACGGGTGCAGCCAGCCTGAGGGGCGGAGGCCGGCCCCCATCACAAATCAGGAGTGCGCTGAGAAGGCCAGAGACAGAACTAGGATGGGGACAAGGACATGGAGCAGGGGGCCTTGTCAGCCAAGTTAACAAGTTTAGATTTTACTTTCAGTTCAAGGAGAAGTTAGGAAGTGGTTTTGAGTATACGAGGGGCAAGATTGGATTTATGTTTTAAGATGGCCTCTTTGGTCTTCGCGTGTGCCCCAAGGCAAGCAGTCCAGCTAACAGGCTATGGCAGCTGTCCATATGAGACAGATGGAAGACGGAATTAGGATTGGTGGCGGCTGAAGACAGAGAGCTGCTCCGACAGAATGGCTGACAGAGGTTTAAGAGGCTGACTCAGCAGATGTTTTGGATGTGGGGTTCACACAGAGAGGCCTCAGCGGTAACAGCCAGGTTTCTGGCTTGAGTAACCAGGTAGAAGTTGATGGCATTTATCAGGAAGGGAAAAACTTAATTAGTGGGGGTACAGTTTTCCTTGCTAACTGGAAAAACACAGTGAGAAGTGACCCCTTGGTCAGTACAAAAAAAATCAGAAGAATCTACACCATTTATTACCACTAATGTAGAATTACTCTGGAAAATCTGCGGTAATGTGGGAAGAGGGACTGGCCCGAGAAACAAAATTCATAAATAATCCTCACATCTAAGCCCAGCAAAGCATTCCCCACCTCCCAATATCTGGGGCTAAAAACACAAAGTATTCCCTTCTTTGATTTTTTTTACATACCTCTCTCTTTCTGGTGGAGGTACGTTAACAGAACTTTGAAATTGCCAAATGGGATAATGCACTGAGCACTGTAATTAGCCTCTGACTAAGAATAAGGGTCCAGATAGACCTGGGCTCAGAAATGAGACTCCGGATGACTCTAAAAGTAAACTTGACCTCCTCTCCAAAGGCCTCCCTCTAGACTGCCTCTCAGAACTCTGAGCTATTGAGCAAGTATATTAGAATGTTATTATGCCTCTGCCTGTGTAGCTAAGTAGAAATGTTGCAACTCAGAGCAGTAAGTAGCTTGGTTTGCAGTTCAGGCAGGGTCACAAATATAACAGTAATCATTTCATATATATATGAACATTATATATACATACACAGACTCTACTTTTGGAAAATAAAGCAAATTTGGAACATCCTCCTTCTCCCTTCCTTATTCTTCCTATGTTCACGTGACAAGTTGCTTCAAAAGTAAAACCTTTTGACTATACTTCTGAAAGCAGTTGATTGGGTAGCATAGATGGAGCGTCATGTATTGAATTAAGAAGGATGGTGGAGTGGCTCTGATGCGGGGTTATTTGTGAGCAAACACTTCTGAAGGGAAACCACTTACATCACTCAGCTGCTTTGTGTTGTGCTGAGCCAAAACCATGCCCATGGAATCAGACACACTTGTGAACTTGATGGTATCTGGGTGCTGTCGATACTTCCTCTCACTTATTGCATCACCTGCTTTCTTGGCCTTCTCAACATCCAGAGAACCAATAGGAATCCATCCAATGCCTTTGAAGAAGGTGTTGTACTCATCTTTATATACATTCTGTAAAAGAGTAATCTCATATGAGGAGATATCTTAAAGCATAGTCTACGGATGTTTCTGAAATCTTCCCTTCTATCCAGGGGGAGATGAATAGCAACCTTTTCAGCATGCTCGCATCTGTAAGGGAGCTTTGGGCTATGTCTGCCACAGAGTTTTTTACGCAGAATTTAGTAATAAGACAAAGCAGTTGCTTTGTTGGAGTGCATTATACAACACAGAGGGTATCGAGGCTACATGTTTCCATGGTATTGCTACAAAATATTGCATCTCTTTTGACAATAAATTGGGCTTTCCTTTTGATTTCACTGAAAACTCCACAACTTTGAATTTCACCCACGTTGTCCACCTCGGTTGGTCCTGACCTCAGGTGGGGGGAGACATTTTCATTGAACAACAATAAATGGATATGACTCCTGCCCTTTACAGAGGAGCCTTATAGAAATCTGCATCCTATGGAAGGAAAAGCCCTGAATATTAAACACCCTCCCCATGCAGCTCTCCATGAATCATGCCGCAATCACAGAGCCTTCCTGGTTCATTTTAGATGACTCATTACATGCATGAGAGTGTGACCTTAAGTTTAAAAACGTCAAGAATAACTTTCCTGAATTCAGAAAGAGCAGAGAAGGTTCCTATTCTGCCTTATACACAATGAAGCAGGTCTGCCTGAAGCAACCATTTCCTCTTGTTGGGGATGAAGGTGGCTTATATGCTTAGTGGAATATGGTTTTATCTTTGACCCAGAAGTTAATAAAGACAATGTCAATGATTACAATAGGGGCATAGGAAACTGGCAAAAACACAGCTTATCTAGCATGCCTTTGTTAGTCTTTCAATAACGATTGTTTCTTGTAAAGTACATGTTTCAATATCTTACTGCATGTGAAGTCTACGAAAATAGGAAGAAATGATCATCCCTTAAGTACCAGCATCTTAAGTACCCAGCATGGGTTGGTTCTGTTGCACATACTTACTTCACTCTGAATTTGATTCGCGTTCTTGGTGTGCTGGACATTCATGGCATCAGGTAGGTACGTGTAGTGATGCGTCGGTTGTTTGTAGTTGACGTTGGTGGCAACATCCTGAGCCATCCGTGCAGCTGTGATGCTAACCATGTCTCCAGGGGTGTGGTAGCTGGTTTTGGTCTTCTCATAGTTTTTCCTGTATTCACGGTCAGACTGCAGCTTTGCCACATTCATGTAGTGGACCAGCTTGGGATCATCTTGGAGGCTTCTAAAACCCACATGCTTTCCCTTTGACTTTTCATAAGATTCCTTGTATTTATACTGTGGGAGGAGGGGCAGAATTTGGTTAGCAAAGTCCTAGGCATTGGTAACATTAGGTGCAGCAATTATGTTCAAACACGAAGGCACTCAGTACATTGCGGCTTTCTGGAAGATTGTACAAGAAATGAAAACCATATGCCTTCACACACACCCCAGAAAGTTCAGAGACAGAGCATCTATTTCCATCATGTTATAGATGGGTGTCATGATAAACTCAGGGCCCATTTCTTTTCTTTGCTAGTAATCCAATAGGTGATTTGCATGTAGAACTTCTATTTAAAGCCAACTGAATTTTCACACTCAATAGAAACATGACACATTCCAAATATAAGACCAATATCTCTTGGTTATCCAGGGTGGTGAATTTTCTGAGTCCATGATGTTATTTCACATCATGGAATTTTAGAAGTTATTGGGGAAACCTTTCATTTTCTGTTGTGATTCGCCTAGTGATATGTACACAACAGGTGCAGAAGAAATTCTAAAGAACTCTATGCGTGAGACATTTACACTCATATCTTCTTGGGGTGGGGGGTGGAAAACATTACTGTGTTCGTTGCCTAGGTTGGCCTAATAAAACAAGACCCCCCTTCTTTTCAGGTGGTGTCAATTTAGATACCGCATAGACAGGTAGCTGGGCCTTCACCCACCCATTTCTCAGCAGTTATTCTCTAAGCTCACTGCTCAGACAATGGCAGATGAATTAAGGAATTACAGTAAGGACAGGAACCACTGCAAGCTTTCCCAATCAGTAAAAACCTAACCACAAAAGCTCTGTTGTCCAAGATCTGACCTCTGGAATCGGCAGTCAGGTGTAGACTGAGCTATACTGTCTGTAATGGTCCAAACCTCAATTTTTTACATAAAAGAATTCAAGTCCACCTAAACTATACAGACACTCTCTGTTCCTGCCATTTCAGCACCAATTTACCAACAAGAGTTACCAAGCAAACGAATCATCAAGTAATCTCTAAGCATGTTAGAAAAAGCTCTGTGTAAGTGCTAAAAAAAAAAAAAGGTAATGTCATACCCTAGACTTTCACTTTCTCCTTAAATTAGAAATGTATTTCACAGTGATGTGCAAAACCTCTGAAGAACATGTTTTCAGCACCAGCTGTAGAATTCTTTTACCCCTATCTCCCATGTGGTCTGCACATGGGTGGCTTCTTTCTTCTCTTCTCAGATCAAGCTTTATAGCCCTTGGAACAGTGTGTGACAGTGTGTGACAGTGCGGTCTACATAACATGCATGCTTTTTGAAAATTTGGTTTTCCAGAGATGGGAAGATGAATAAGTGCATACTTTTTCTGTTATAGATGAAATGGGCATCAATTTATATTAATCAAAAGTGGGCTGTTGCCCATTTGGCATATAAAATCCGTACATTGTATGTAACATCTTTTTAATCTTCTTAATACAATTATAATGTAGGCAGGCACCTGAATTTCACATTAGTTAGTGTCAGTCAGGGTGTTCCCATGGAAAATAAATGTGGGCTGTCAGGGAAAGTGTCAGTGAAGGTCACCTGGGCTATGAATCAGGGGAGAAAGCCGCTGTCAGATTTGTGACAGCTCTACCAAGTAGGGTCAGCTGAAAAGAATCACAAAACATTGAAAAAGTGACAGGTTCCCAAAACAATATTTTGTGGAGAATTTAAATGTCATTAATTCAACATATTGTTTTCAATGTGGTATTGTTTAAAGAAATACACATTTGATTCCTGTTTTTAAAAGGCAATCACCCGGATTTCACCTAAAATGTTTACTCACGTCACTGGCAATGTTTCTTGATGCTTTGGCTGCAGTGATGGGAATAGCGTCCGCCAGCACATTGTTGCCTTTGGCTATTAAATCATGCCAGTCCCGTTTATAACAGACCTGTGACAGAAAAACAAAGATGTCAGCATGCTGCGGATGAATCAGCTAAAGTGATTCCTCAGCTGCTGGGATGGTTTTGTTCCTTTCCAGATAGAAGCTAAAAGAAGCTTCTATAGAATGTGCTGTCTCAGGAAGTCACAGTAACAAAGTGTCACACTTTGTGTCGCTTGAAATTACTGGACTCTACACTAATTATTCACCCAAATCTGATGGGATATTGAGACAGTAGAGTGAAACCAGAGGAGCCCAGTACAGGTTCTAGAAACGATGGTGTGTTTGAGGACTACTTAGAGAAAAGGAACTTGTTCAGTTTTATGAAAAGAAGGTCAAGGGAAGACCTGATGGTTAGCCTTAGAAATTTTAGCGTTGTTGTAAAAAAAAAGGAGGGGGCAGATTTCATTTATCTTTTTTTTTTTTTGAGGATAATCGCCTCCACATGCAAAAACAGGAAAACTAAGTAGAAGTTTTAGAGAACTAGATGTTGAGCTCTACAGAGAGAATGCTAGACCCTTTAGAGTTGTCCCTTGAAAAGGCCAACTCAAGGAATACAGAACCATCATGATGGGAAATGCTCCAATGGGGGCTATGTGGAAATTGACCTAAATAACTGTGAAGGCTTCATCATACTCTTGACATTCTATTATTTTCTCAACGGGTTTGGATTTCACACTCCATCAAAGACCCTACTTACATCACTTATGTTGTAAGCATTGCACTTGGCCTGGAGAAACTGAGGAAGATCAGGGCTTATAGTGTATTTATGTTTCACATCTTCTCCTTTAGCTTTGTATAATCTCTGCAACACAGAGTCACAAAAATAAAGTTCATTATGGATAGCACAAAAAAGAAAATACATTAACTTATACAATAACTTAAAGGAGTTATTCCTAGCACAATCCCCCACTATTTCTATTGTTTAACAAGTATCAAAGGCATTTTCATATTTTTAAGAAACTCAAGTATCTTGCTGTCTTTCAGAAGACCCAACAACTCTGTGTATTAAAATAGAGAGAAAAAAATCCTTAAAATAGAAATCTGCCAGAAACAAATGAAAAATACATTCAAATGGGAAACCCTAACATGAATAACAGAATTCACCAAAGCCAGAAAGTTCAATTCTTTGCTAGTGGAGTGAATAGTTCTTAAACTATTGTTTTGTTTTGTTTTGACTTTCTATTCTTAGAGAGAAAATGTAGTTAGAATGAGTCTTTCGCTTCTGCTAAAAACTTTCCAATTATAATTGTATCAGTAAAAGCATTAATTTCCTCATAATATATGGGGTGCTTATACATAAATCCAGTATACTCAAAAGGTTTACCATTTCATATTTACCCTGTTTTGTCATTTAAAGATGCCTGAGAAATATAAAAGTGTATGATGTAGAAATCATATTGTATCCTCCTCTTGTTAATGGAAAAGAAGGAAATTGCTTAATTTCTAAAACTAAAACACATCTGGATTCAAAAGTAGATTTTCCATCTCTTGATTGTCATTTATCATATATACCTCCACTTCCCAACATGCCTATGTGGGATATCACATGTAAACTGGTATGTGTGTATCACAAGTCTGAAATGGCTGATATCTAAATGAATCTCCAAATACTAAATAACTTCTTCTAGGAGTCCAAGAGCTTAGAAACCATATCTAAGCATTCACAGAATCTCATTAATTGTACCTTCTAAACATCTCCTTTCCCATTGCTACCGCCTTCCTTCAAGTCCAAATGAGCCTTCTGTTGGATAACTGTAACAGCTATCCAATTCATCTCCTTGTCTCCAGCCTCTCCCTTCTCCAATACAGCCTCTGCACTTTTTGCCAGAGTTATCTTTTAAAACAAAGACCTGATAATGCCCCTCTATGGATTAAAAATATTCAATACCTCCTGTTGCCTAACCTATAATGTCCAGACTATAAATTAGTGTACAAGACTCTCAATAATCAGGCTACAATCCTGAACCCTTCACTGTCCTTCCATTCATTGCTTCTTGACTGTCGTTATGTTTTTCCTTTTCAGGAGTGCATCCTTCCCTCATTTGCCGGGAAAGCTCTGGTAGGCAGCCACTCTCTTCCCTTGTACTTACTTAGCACATGCCTGTCCTGTAGCAATCATCTCTCCGAATGGCAGTGCTGTTTCTATCTATGCCTTGTCTTACACAGTTGTCCTATATCCTTGTTATATCCTATCTCCCACTAATCCTCATCTATTTAATCTTTATACCATCAGCACATAATACAGTGCCTGGCACATGGAAGGTGTTCAAAAACATTCATTCAATGAATTTTTTAATGAATGCTTTTGATGTCCCTTTAACTGTCCTATACACCAAATTTTCCTTTATCTGACTTTAACCAGACCATAAACATTGCTCATGGACAGGCAGGCAAACAATATACTAACCTCCATGAAGACATAAGTAAAAAAATAATAATAATCTATAATAATTATACATGATGATTGAGGAGTAAAATGATATATATAGAATTGAATATGATGAATTTGCCACAATAAAATGTCTGGGATTTAAGCTTAAATTGTGTGTGTGTGTGTGTGTGAGTGTGTGTGTGTGTGTGTGTGTGTGTGTGTGTGTGATACTACAGTAGAATTTCATGCACCATGCTAAATTTATCCAATAACATGGTATTTTAAGGCAGTTAAAAAGAAAGAGGTTTTTAAATGGGAGGTAAAAACCTAGATAGAAGAAAAAGAAACTATTAGTGCCCAAACTAAAAATAATTATAAATTATTATATTAAATTTTAAATTAAAAAATAAAGTAATTTCAAAAGGAAAAGATATTGGCATAGAAGAATAACACAATTTGAGCTGATATTTCTTTTATTAAAAACCTCCCCCCATCTTCTATCCCCTCTGTTTTGTTGTACTCACATCACTGGTTTGCTGTGTGTTCTGTTTTGCCTGGACCATCACTGGTGAGTCCACGATGCTGGTAAATTTGAGAGTGTCTGGATGTTGCCTGTACTTCTTTTCACTCAGAGCATCACCCGCTTTCTTAACTTTTTCTACATCCAGACTCCCAATAGGTACCCAGCCAATACCCTTCATCCAGTTGTTGAAGTCTTCCTTGTAGACATTCTACAGCAAAGAGATAAAAAGAGGAGTAAGTGCCCCAGGCAAGGGGTTCTCTCACACAGGCTCCGACCTCAGAGGGGGACTGCCTTGTGGAGTAAATGTCACTTACATCGCTCTGTATGTGCATCATGTTCTTAGACAATTCCAGGTCCATGGCATCAGGCAGGTAGGTGTAATGATGCAGCAAATGCTTATAGTTGGTGTTGCTGACAATATCCTGAGCTTTCTTAGCTGCCACAACATTGAACATATCATGGGGCGTGTTGTATTTTGTCTTTGTCTTCTCATAGTCTTTTTTATACTCTCGGTCCGATTGTATCTTGGCTACATTCATGTAATGAACCAGTTTAGGATCATCTTGGAGATTTCGGAAGCCAACCATTTTCCCTTTGGCTTTTTCATAATCTTTTTTGTACTGAACCTGATGGAAATAAAGGTGGGCATATTTTCAAATGTAGTCATGAAGACTTTACTGGACAATCAGACCATGATTTAAAGCAAATGAGCTTTCCAGAAATGACTTCAACAAACAAATAATTACATGTTTGTTTGCATATATTTTGAAATGTTGCCAGGTAAAATGAAAATGTTAGTTTGAGCCCATTTGATTGTACCTGCTTCTGCCACCCGAGAGAGAGGTTGGGGTGGGGTCCTAATTGTAATTCTTTTCAGTGACAAAGTGAAACTCAGACAGTGGAAAAGACAAATGAAAAGATAAACATTTCACAATCCCTACCAATTACATTGTGTTGCTAAAGAAAATCCCAAATAGTTGGCTATCTGATTAGTGGTATAATTTTACTACTACCACCACCACTACTACTACTACTACTAGTAGTAGTAGTAGTAGTAGTAATAGTAGTAGCAGCAGCAGTAGCAGTAGTAGCAGTAGTGGTGATAGTAATAGTAGTAGTATTAATAGTAGTAGTAGTACTACTAGTCATAGAATTTTAATGAGTCTTTGCATATTCACAGGGAGACCCAGAGCCAGTAGTGTGTAAACACTAACTGGCTTTGAAAAATAAAATGAGGAGAATGGAGCTTCCTTGGGAGAGACCTGGGAAGCAACCTGGGAAACTGAGAAGCAGAGTTGTGAGGGAAGGTTTGTGTGTATATGGGGGTCAGGTGGCTGGAGGAGGAGAGCACCCACAGAGAAAGGGGGTCAGTGAGAAATTCTGGATGGCAGGGCCTTTAAGACACAGGCATTATTTATTCACCTGTCACATATTTACACTGGTGCACTGTCCACTTCATTGTAAATACTCAGTCAAGTTGTGCTTGGGACTTGGGGAAATCATGTTCCATGCCTGGACCATGCAGAGCGGAAAGAGAAGGAATTCAGGGGAGGAGAGCCCAGGGAAACCAGAGCAGTGCCATCATGTGCAAACCAGAAGACAGGTGGCTGAAAACAAAAGCCTCAGGACACCCGCAGCAATCACAGGGAGGGTGCCCCACTTCCTATAGGACAACAGGTAGGGACTTGAGTCAATTTTCCTTAATTCTCAAAGAGCAAAGTGGCTTCAGCTCACAGCTGGGTTAAAGGAAGAGAGCAAGAGAAGCAAAGTTCCTAACTTTAATGGAACCTAGTGACTAACTCTTAGGGGCTATGAAACTGGAGGACAGTTCATCCATCTGTAAAAGCAATGAAGTAAAAAGAAAGAAGTAAGGGAAGGGGGCATTCATATACATTAATCAAGTCTTGAGATAATATTTTACCCTCAGGAGTCTATTATGACTTCAATAGTAAGTAACTTATTTATTTCCATAAGAGAGAGAATGTGAATTTGTGTAGAAATATAGATGAGAATTTTAAATTCGAGTGCTTGATTAGCACTGATCAGTAAAGGTTATGTGAATCCTGACCCCCAAGAAATTCAGATCCATTGAGGGAACTTTCCTTCTTGAATAGTTTGCAACTAGACTTGCTTCCATTCGGGGACAGGAGATGAGGTGACTTTTGGGTAACAAGCCCACCCCACCCACATTTTCTAGTCACACAGGTGGCCACCAGTTGGACTTACATCACTCGCCGCCTGCCTGGCCGCTTTGGCAGCTTTGATGGGAATCGCATCGGTTCTCAGGTCATATCCCTTTTTGCTCAAATCTTTCAAATCTGCTTTGTACATATTCTGAAAGAAAAAAAAGTCATTCAATTGTAAGTCAGTCTTCGCTTAGAAAAGGCTTCTCATGCAACTCAGCAGCTGAGCCCGTGCACTCACCTCACTGATGTTGTAGGCATTGACTTTAGCCTGAATGAACTGGGGCAGGTCAGCTGGCAGGCTGTACTTGTGAATCATTTTCTCTCCTTTGGCTTTGTAGGCAATCTGAGAGAGAGAAAAATATGTATGCATAAACAAACAGGGTTTAATGGCACAGGAAAAGAATTTCAGAGCCGATCACATTGCACAGAGGTGCTTTTCATGAAAGACTGTTGGTGCTGTCCCCATATTCGCCTGCAAATATCTGTAGGCATTTAAGGTCTCATGCGCATTCGCACAGAGTCCTATCTTTGTGCTGGCTCAGCCTTGACAAAGGTCCCTTGGTATGTGTGCACTAGGAACTGCCAGACCTACGTAGGGGCACCTGGAGGAAATTAGTCCAGGAAAGTGACCCGATGAAAATGTTAGCCTGCAGACAATTTGCTGAGCATAGGAAAGGCTCATAGAGTGGGAATTACACCAAACATCTATATTATACTTTGTAGGCTGCTAAAGGGGCTGAGGGGTAAATTTCACTATATAATATTTTTGTCTTAGCTCTGACTTAAAATATAACTCCATATGATGTAGTGCCTATGTTCATTTTCCTGCTCTTTTCTAGAAATAGGCATGTAGTGTTTCTTATCAAGAGAAGCCCCCCTTACATTCTCCTTGGAAAGCAATGTCAAACGATTGAAAGGACAGTCAGGGCAATATACATAAAACTCTAAAAATACATATTAGGTGTGCTTTATTAATGAAAAGCTGGGGGAATTACACAGTTGCTCATGTAACTGAGACTCTTTTGATTGCATAAGAACTACAGGTCATCGGTACATTTGCAATACAAATGAATTTTGTACTAGTTGACGTTTTTTATTAAAACATTGATAGGATTAACACTTACATCACTCTGCTGGGCCTGGTTAATTTTAGACTGTACTATAATCGGAGCATCTTCAATCGAGGTAAACTTGAGAGTGTCTGGATGTTGGCGATATTTTTTCTGTTTGGAGCAGTGAAAAAAAACAACAATAATATTACTTACACTGAAGTAAATAAAAATTCTTGAAATTTTGGAGAGACAGACTTTTTCCTGATTTAAAATGTAAAAATACTAGATTTTTGGTTGACTTGGGGAGAAAAAATGAGTACAATACAAAAACCAATGTTTAAAAAATCGACTAAATCTTGGATTTTTGAGGGGCAGTACAGAACAATACCACTCTCAGGAACCAGACTTGACTCTCGTAATTTCCTACTTATAATGTGGAAGAGGGCACTCTCAGCTAAGCAGAATCCAGAAATATCACACAGTTTTCTAAAAAGTTAACAGAAAACCATGTAGAAAAACAATTTGGAGTGTCTATGCCTGACACTAACAAGTACTCAGGGATGTCATTTTCCCTGTCACTCCATCAGCCACTGAAGTAAAGAAGCTGCCTGGTTGAAAGGGAGGGGGAATTGAGGAATTAAGATGACAGCTAGGGATTGTAATAAAGAGAGGGAGAGCTTTTGCTGTGCAAACCTTAATATGATTGGTACACAGACTTTTACAACAGTGCTAAAGAGGCACAGGGAGAGAACATTGGAAGGTGCTCCAACGTGGAGCTGGCAACTTCTAGCTCCCTGAATTCCTATGTTCTTCTCCATTTATTCTCCCAGTTCTCTTCCTTTGTGCATGTTATACATCCCACTCCTGTGTACATAGTGGCATCACTCCATCAACTTCAGACTTCTGACAACTACCAACACAGAAGAGCTTTTTCTGAAAAATCTGAGTAGAAAAATGGTTTTCACCCAAGGCAAATGAAAGCACAAAACAAGAACAAAATCATGTGGAAGACAATGCTCACTGAGCACCTCTGTCCTTTCTTTATGTAGCCTCAACCTTGATGATGGATTCACCTGACAGTAGTGGGAATGTTTTGCTGTTGGCAGAGAAGGGACAGATAACCTGGCTGCTGTAAGACTGTAAGGTCATCATTTTTTCTTAGACTAAGTAATAATTTATATACTACTTCAGAGTCATCAAGAATATGACATAGGGTATTAATACTTCAAAAAATCCCATAATATTCATTAGATGCATTATTCATAATCACCAAAAATTGGAAAAAATCCACATGTTCACTAACTGGACAACCAAAATGGAACATAGCCACTTAAAGGAATGCTACTCGATAATAAAAAGGAATTAATTGCAGACACCTGGAGGAACATGGACGAACCTCAAAAACATTATGCTAAATGAAAGAAGCCTGATATAAAGGCAATTTCTAGAAAAGCAAAACTATAGAGACAGAAAGCAGATGAGGAGTTGCCTGGAACTGAAGATGGGAGCAGGATTTTTTCAAGGGAACTTCTTAGGGTACTAGCAGAATTTTAAAATTTAGTTGCAGTGTTGCCTCTACAGCCATATGAACTTATTAAAACTTGTCAGGGATACACTTAAAATAGGTGAATTTTATGGTATGCAAAGTATACCTTGATAAAGTTGTTAAAAATATTTTTATCATGAATTGTTAACATACATGATTTTGGTGATGTAAAGGGGTATGTTTATCTACCAGAATAATTCATGGTAAGTTTTGCCCTCAGCAACAATTGTTAGAGAATGAAGCAGTGAAGGAGGCACTTGCCATGGTTTGGGGGCTTTGAACATGACACATGCACAATTCTCTGTGACACAGGAACTGGCTTTACCTCATTGAGAATGTCTGAAGCTCGCTTTGCCTTTTCCATTTCTAAGGACCCAAAAGGCACCCAGCCACAGCCTTTCATCCAGCTGTTGTAGTCAGCTTTGTAATCGACCTGAAACACCAGAAGAATGGTTAAAATTATTTGGCTCAGCATCATCCTTATTTGTAAAATCATTAACATTTTACCCGAAAGGATGTTTTTAAGATTTCTGACCAGCTTCCTTACTCCATATGTTAAGGTTATTTTAAATATAAATCCTTGGTGAGAGATTTTAACAGCTCTTAGGTTTTCACTGTTTCTCTAGGGGGTATACGTTCCATTTCATGCTTATTTTATAACTGAATGGAAGAATGTGGAACTCTAAGTTCAACCTGAAACAAATGCTAAATTCAAAGCTGTATCTCAAGGAATACAGGAATATAATTGTTATGTTTAGATAATCAAATGTGAGATGATTGCTCACTGTAATTCTAAGCGTTATGCTTCCATGGTCAAATTAGGAGGAGGCCACATTGAAGGTGGATAATTTTGCTCATTTTTGATTAAGTAAGACTTGATAGTAGTTATTTGTACTAAGTATTTGCACGCAATGCCCTTCATGTGCAATGGTCCACTTAGGAGTGCTTCTACATTGGCTAACAATGCACTTAAACACAGTTGCATTTGTTAATTTGCTTATAGAGAACAGTTATCATTTGGCATTGGTCCTATTTTGGTCCTACTTAATGTTATTAAAATAATGAGCTACTCGTGTTGTATAGCTATAGATGGTACCTAACACTTATACTCTAGATATAAAATTCAAATCGTTGTTCTTTGTGTAGACCTTTTAATTGCAATGAAAAATCAAGAAACCATTTGACCCCCACATTTGAGAGGCTCACAATCTATGTGGGAATAAGAAATATAGCAAAAATCAAAAATAAATAAGATACTAATGCTTAGAACAGAATCCTTAGTGATGGAAATGTAGGGTCTTATGTTCATACCAGCATTATTCAAGATAGCCAAAAGATGGAAGCAACCCAAATGTCCACTGACAGATGAATGACTAAACAAAATATAGTACAGTAATACCTTGGTTTATGAGCATAATTCGTTCTGGAAACAAACTACTCATATTGCAAGACATCGCTCGTTTACCACGTTAAAATGTATTAGAAATGTTTGCTAGTCTTGTGGAACACTCGCAAACCACGTTACTCGCAATCCAAGGTTTTATTGTACAATAAAATGGAATATTATTCCGCTTCAAGAAGATAGGAAATTCTGAAACATGCTATAACACTAAAAAACCTTGAGGATATTATGCTAATTGAAATAAGCCAGACCCAAAAAGACATATTGGATGATTCCATTTATATGAGGTCTCTAGAGTAGTCCACCTCATAGAAACAGAAAGTAGAGGGTGGCTGATTGCCAGGGGCTGACAAGGGAGGAAATGGGGAGTTGTTGTTTAATGTGTACAGAGTTTCAGTTTCGCAAGACGAAAAACTTCTGGAGATTGGTTGCACAGCAATGTAATTAACTGCTACTGAACTATAGCCTTAAAAATGGTAGAGATGACAAATTTTATGTTATGTGCATTTTACCACATTTTTAGAAAACAGAATTGTTAGGATAAAATGTTTGATTGTGTAGCTCTGAAACATTAATTTGCCTAAAGAAGTTTTGATTTGCAGAAAAAACCCAGCTAAAAGAAAAACTGATTCTATAAATCATGTATTTTATTTTTAGACAAGACAGCAATCTATGTAAAAAATTATTGACAATGATGAATGTGATCATTATGATAGCTGAGATGATAATAATTGGGAGTTCACCAGGTCCTGTGACCACGCTAAGTATTTTTTGCATACACTCAGATCCTCAAAATAATTCTTTTGTTTTATTCCAAATTTACAAGGACGTTAGACTCAGCAAGGTTGATAACTTTCCCCAAGGGAAGCAGGGATGGGGTGCATGCCAGGCCCAGGTCTCTCGAACTCAAGGGTGTGTTCTTATTGAACCACACAGGTAATTTTCCCATTCCATATTTGCCGCTTACAGAACACAATGCAGATGCCTCTGAGAATTGCCCAAAACATCACTCAACTTAGAAATCTTTTTTAGTTTCCCTATTAAAAAGAGGGACTAGAGAAAATTAGATTACTCACATCGCTCTGCAGTGCATAAGCCTTCTTGGCGAGTTCCACGTTGATGCTATCGGGCGGGTAACTGTAAGTGTGTATGAGGCGCTTATAGTCGATGTCACTGACAATTGCCTGGGATTTCTTAGCTTGAGTGACTGGGAGCATATCAAGAGGTGCTGTGTAGACAGTTTTTGACTTTTCATAGGCTTTACGATATTCACGCTGTGAATAGGAAATTACTATTTATGATCAGAAATCCTCCATGGATTCCCAGAAAAGCACAGATGTCTCGCATAAATGACAAACATAAGTTAAAAAACAGATCCAAACATCTAAGTAGGTTTTTTTCCCCTAAAATTTGTTCAAATGTTACTCATTGTTGAAATGTCTCCAAAAATCATACATGGACAATCCTTCTCAAATCTCTTTTGAGACCAAAGTATTACTTTATTTTAAAACAGGAGTTCTCAAAGACCACTGACAAGCATTATTTCTACTAAGGTAATCTATCCTTTGCAGAGTTTTTCAATAAAAAATTATTTTTTGATTCATCAAAATCATGTGACAATCATTTCATACTTCTGATTTTAATAAAATGACTACTTGATAAATAAATCTGTACACTTGACTTCTTGGCTTTTCTTAAGTCATTTAAAAATAGATAGTTGCTGATTTTTCAACCTTACTATTTTCCTGTTGCTAGTAGATAGGCCCCATTGAGAATCCCAAAGGTTTTTTTACACCAAGTTTAATTTTGGTAACACAATGAAGCTTCAGACTGCAGCAGTTATAAGACCTCAAAGGAGAAAAGTTCGTGAAACTGAGCCATTAAAGTAACCTTGGCCATTATGTACAGTGTTCTCATAAACCAAATGTCCTGACTGAGTCTCAGAAGGCACTTTCATTGGCTGGTTTTCTGGAGTCATTAGACAGGCTGCTGATTAGGTCAAAGTCCCAACTTCAACAGTTCCACTGACCAATTACCTTAACAGAGAAGAAATTCTGACCCAGTGCCTTTAAGAAAATTCTAAACCCGTTATATCTCCCGATATTAAATAAGCATTAAAGACAGTGACCCAAACTAGCAAGTACAGATATGCATTATAAATCTTCTGTAGAAACTCCTATTGCAAGTAATCTAATCTCTCAGTTTTCTTAGGGAATGTGATCTTCCTTCTAATATTTTGTAGGTAGTCACTGTCACTGAATAAATTTATCACTTAATTATAAGCTCTAGATCCTAGTTTATGAGAATAAAATATGGAATCTTTCTGATGGTATTCAAGCACACTGAAAAAATACAGTTTGTCTTTATTAGAAATAAACTGATAAAGCAATGTTGCAAAAGCAGTTGATGTATGGAAGTGTTTTTGACTAAATTGTTTTGACTCTTTTGTTCATGTTTATACCAGCTCACACATACCTGAAAGTATAAAATGTTGACAAAGGTCCAAATGGGTTTAAGAGATTCTTTTAAAAAGCTATGCATGTTCTATATCTGCAACTTTGCATTTAGCCTGAATATTATGTGAATCTGACTCCTCATTGACTATCTTTTTTGGTTGCCAACATCAATCATTTAAAATGTATTTATTGAGCACTTATTGTGTGCCTAGTGTTCTAGTGCATCCTGTGATAGGATGAAAAGCAAAAGATAAAGATACATGTGCTGTCAACAGAGAGCTATAACCTCTTTTTAGTTAAGAAGGGATAAGGAACTAGAGAACAAGATAGTTTTATGTATGTAAGCACCTTATACTGACATAATTCAAAGTGAAGTTATTAGATAAAATAACTGAATGGGATGTTTTAAAGTGCTATATGACTATATGGTAAGTATAAAATGAATTAAAGAACACATGGATAAAATGAAAGCAAATAATATAAACATTCTTCTTTTTAATCATGAAAAACTAATATTTGCAAGCTATGTTGAACATTCTTACCACTTCCAAGTGACTTTCTAAACATTTTTTAAACACACCGAATACTGCAATTCGCAATAGTAGGGGCTCACTTCTCTATAGTACGAATTGTAACCAAAAGGTACTAGATGGCCCAGCCTTAGGGAATCTATAAATTCTCTGAAATTCAGGCAAAAGACATTTTAAAAAAGTTTGTTTTTCTAGATGGATGATCCAAATCTTTTATCAGATTCTCAAAGGAGCCTATAATCAATTCTTGGACCTATGCCAATACTAATTATCAAAGTCAATAAACAGCAATGATGGCTATCCTAAGATCTTTATCCGTGACTCATGATTTTCTTCCAGAATAAAGGCAACTTTTAAAAGCATCATTTTAAAGGTTATTTTTCAATTGGAAGAAAATGTGAAAACACCTAGTGATGTTTTCCAAAAGGTTTGAGAATTACAACCAATATTCTATTAAATACTAACACATTTTTCACATTTTTCAAAGTGAAATGGACCTAAAGTACAAACTGGTAATTTCTCTCCTCAGTTGTGAGAGGTGCAGGAATCTGGGAGGGATCTAAACTTCTCCCCAGCAGTTTGTTGCTGTGAACCTGAGAAAACTCATGCATATGGAATCCTTTTACATGCTTCACAGGGATGTTCATGTTCACAGGGACACCATCTTGAAAACAAGATAGATGTATTACACAAAAACACTCACATCACTCTGCATTTTGGCTGTCTTCATAGAGTGTAGCATCTTGGGATCATCATTAATGCTGAGGGCTCCAATCATTTTCCCTTTGTTTTTTTCATAGTCTTTCTTGTACATCACCTACAAAGACATCACACATGCCAGGTCCTGCTCATCAGGGAACATCACTGAGCCCCCCTGCCCGGGTCCCCAGGCCATACTCACATCACTAGCATTCTTGCTGTTGGCTTTGGCTGCCAGCAGGGGAATGGCATCCACTTTAATGTCAAACTTCTTAGCTTTGCTCTTCTCCCAGTCGTACTTATAAATGTTCTGGATAGGGAAATTTCAGCAAAGGAATTGTGAAAACAACATCTAACACAGAGTCACCCAGTAAAAATTAAAAGAAAAACAAACCAAAATCATTGAAAATTTGTAGATGTGGACTTATTTCACCTGTAAATACTATGTTTACCAAATGGTAGTATAACTACTGATTTATCTATCATTCGGCTTTGTCCCCCCACCACCAAATAAGTATAATATACTCTCTCTAATAGTCTGTTAACTTTCTGAAGTTCTGCTATCCCAATGTATAAAGGATAATATACAATGAAAACCACTTGGAGAAAGTGACATTTGACATTTACATAAAAAATGTCTTATAACACTCTAGGGATTAGCAGAGGGGTAATTAAGAGAATGTTTCTGATAGTGACAGAGACTGTGGAAAATGTAATCTGATAGCTAAGTAAGAACCTTAAGACTATTTAGGCCTTAAAAGCTCCACTTAAACCCTGGTTAAAAATTTCAGCAGTTGTTTGTTTGCGTAACTTCTAGTCTGGCCTTTGTAAACACCTATACCATTTCCTCTTAGGCACACACAAACATAGTATGCTGTGACCTTGGTACTTACATCGCTCAGGTTATAGGCATTGACTCTGTGTTGGATAAACTGTGGAGCATCTGCTGGTACGTTGCACTTGAACTTCTCACTTTCGTGTTTTGCTTTGTAGTTCAGCTGAAAAAAGAGTAGAGGGTAGCCAAACAGTTCAGTAGAAGGTAGGAACTTCCTTGAATTTACGTTTACTACTGTTCTTAGGAAAATGTCTCAAAGAAAGAGTCAATCCAGTAGAAGTGCAGTACAAGGTCCAGACTCTCAGTCCCTCTTCTGGGATTGTAGTGTAACCAAACTTTGGGTTGTCATTTTGTAAACACTATCACAATGAATATATGGGGAACTTATTGTTTGATCTAAACTTCTAGGCTGTATCTTGAAGGCATGAACACCCAAAATCTAAGAAATTCTGTAATCATAACACTAACAAAAATAATAATTATTCTAAGTAAGTTGCTAGTACAGTTTAAAAGATATGTGAATTCTTATTAAACCTACAAAAGATAGGACTTTATTTAACACTTTAAAAAAATGACATTAGGTGCAAGGAAGGGAATGTGAAGAGGGGACGGGGCTGTTGAATTGTTGAGCTAAAGACCAATGGACAAGACTGAGGATTGTACAATATGCATCTCCAAAACAGAGCCGGCGGCCTCACCAGGCCAACGAGAAGAGCGTTGGAGACTGAGCTTGCAAACAGCGCCATATTCTTCTGCAACTGGCCAAGTTCAGCAGGGTCAGTGATGTTAGTGATTAAGCTGTTCTTTCTGGGGCACAAAATATTAATATGCTAAGAAGCATACATACCAATATGACTTATATTGGTTTTACTGACACCATTCTCTTCTTTACCAATTGCTCATGAGCTAATTCGCGTTACTAAAACACATTTCATAGTAAAACACACTGTATATTTTATTGTCCTCAGGATTTAGCTGTGTTAGCACCATGCTACTCCAAGTGGGTTCTACCCATCAGCTGCAGCAGTACCATCAGCTTTTAGAGTCAGAATAGTGGGTTCCTCCAGGCCTGCTGAATCAGAATCTGCATTTTAACAGGGTCACTGGGTGATCCACACAACCATGAATATCTGAGAAGCACTGTTGCTCTTCCCCTGATCTTGACGTGGCTGGATCATTCTGACATAGATCTTCCTTCATCACCCAATCTAAAGTGCTCACTCAGTCGCTATATCTCATGTCATTCTATATTAATTCTGTACCATTATCCTATGTTAGTCTTCTTATTATCATCTGGTATCTTTCTTGTTTCTGTGCTCTTTTTCTTCTTGTAAAGTCTTTGTTAGGAAACTAAAGAATGGGAAATGCTAGCCTTGTGAGCTACCCAAGTACATGCATTTGTTGTTTATTTAAGTTGCCATAAAATTTTAGTATGCTTTATTTTTAATATGCATTCTTTTTGGTATGATCCTAATGAGCAAATTCCCACTAAAAATCAGTGAGTTATTGAAGAATTATTAGTTATTTTAATTATTGTCTAGCATCATTTTTTCCTGAGGCTGCCATTCAATCTAGCAGTTACATATGTATTTCATTAAACAAATCTTGAAAAATGACATTGTTGGGATGATAGATGTGCCAATGAAGATTAAGCATGTAAATGCGTATGGTTCAAATAAGCAAAGCCTTCTGGGTCACCCATATGTGCATAAATCAAGGCGCTTACATCGCTGAGTTGTTTCATGTTGAGCTGGGCTTGCAACAGTACAGGAGTATCGGTGACAGCCGTGAATTTGGTCTTGTCTGGAGGAACTTTGTAGGTATGCTAGAAAAGACGATGTTCCTTAATGAAATGTCATAATATAGCTTTATAATCTCATCTGTATACACATTAACATATAAAAAGTTTCCAGCCAAAATAATTTATTTCCTGAAAACTTGGTTGATATGGTCTTATTTCATCTCTCTTTCTCAATCTCTCTCTTAAAGTTGCCTTTAACTTGGTCTCCCTGCTACAAATCAGCAGCCAGATGAATCTTCCCCCTGCGGAATTCCTACGTGGCTCTCCGCTGGACTTGGCATTCAATCTGAACTGTGCCTTGGCTTATAAACCCTATGCTACAGCATCTACCTTCTCCTCCATCTCTTAGTACTGTCCCCCTCCCCAGAATGTGTCAGCCACCTCATCCCTTCAATTCCTTAGATACCATGCTTGTTCTCTCCTTAGGCTACTCTTCAGACTGCTGTTACCTTGATGTCGGCATGGCTGTATATTCCTTCCCTGGACCTTCCTTAACCACCCAATCTACAGTGCCCACCCAGTCTCTCTCTCCCACATCATCCTATTGTAATTCTGTAGCATCATTCTACATTAGCTGTCTTATCATGGCCTAGCATCTTTCTTGCTTCTGTGCTCTTCGTTTATTGTCTGTCTCTCCCTTACAATTGCATGCTCCATGAGGCAGCCCACCTTGTCCCCTATTCTCTCCCATCACCAAGGAAAGTGATTGGTACAAGCTAGCCCCTCATGTAAATTTGTCAGATGAATGAACACCTATCCCTCACAAATCTCTATGTCCTCCCTTTTCCCTGAAACCATGTATGTATAAACTAGTGGAAACAAAGGTTTATAAAACCTGAAATTATCTTGTAACTAATAGTCTTCTCCATAGTAATTTTTGTGTCCCCCAATTCTACCCAAAAGCCAAAATTTAAAATTTAATTAACATGGGCTAACCTTTAGACACTAGCATTAAACTCCTGATACATTTACCACTAGATGGCACAAGAATCCCAAACCCAATTTCAAGAATTCAGAGCAGCCGACTTACATCTTTACACTGGTCTAGCTTCTTGATTGCTTCATACTCTTGCGTTATTGTCTGAGGGAAATAGCACTTCCCCTTATCTTCTTCATATTCTGCTTTGTAATTTTTCTATAATGAAAAAGAACAAAAATTGATGGTGATGGTTATTGTTCCCAAACAGCATCACCGTGAGGCCTGAGCAATGGTCTTGAAACTTACGTCACTGTTTTGAGCTGAAACTTTCATGCAGTGTACTTCATAGGGGTCCTCAAAGCTGCCAATATAATGTCCCAAAACATTCTGTACATATGCATCTTTATATCTAGTCTGAAAAGGAAAACATATGCCACTCAAAATGACAGTTATATGGCAAACAGGAGGAAAGCTCCTCACAGCCCAGAAGTAACCAAAGGCTTTCGAACCTCACTGAATTTCTTCAGCAGAGTATCAAGCTGATATTTCGGGGTCTCGCAGTAATTCACACTTCTTGCCTTTGATTTCTCATAGTTTTCCTTGTACAATCTCTGTCAAAGGTAAAAGAAAGTCGAACAAAGAAAATAAAAAATATATCTCATGGGATAAAAGCCACTCATATCATTACTATACTTTAACAGAAAGGGCCAATTTTGTATTTTTTCAGCATTTATTTCCCACAAAAGCAAAAAAGCAGGATGTAGATGGTACTTTTATATAATTGAGCCTGCTGATCACCATAAATATGTTTGCATCACTTATCCTAATACTTTTCAGCCAGAATAAATCAGAGCACACGAATGCTGCTGTCTAAGCAACTTTCTGTCTTAAAATAATTCTTTCCACTTGACTGTGTAAAGGAAAATGAATTTTTTTAAGCATTGGTGCAAAATGAGGTAAAATGTATAAGGTGAACCTTAGATACTTAGGCACAGTCTTAGAAAAGTATTCAGTTCAGTTCTTGATGAAAACACATTTTGTAACACTTCTGGAAATTGGTTATCATTAAGACCTAATATTTTATTTTATAGCATTAATACATGAAAAAAAAATAGGTTTTTCTGTTTTATTGGATGTATCATATATTTCATCACATTTTCTTTTAATGCTCCCATATGGAAATTAAAAAGCATACTCAATGAAGATAGAAATATTTCTAAATAAATAGGGGGTATTTATCTTTTTGGTATGAATTAGAAAAGCAATTTTTTTTAGTTTTATTTTTAACAAGTATTTTAAATGTCTTTAAAATGAGATCAGTATTTTAGAAAATTCTTAAAATAAAATACTTTGCGTTTAAAGTAATGCATCACCTAATTTTTGCTACTTTGTCTTTAGTCTGATTTTCTCACTTTTTGCCTTTTATTTCTCTTTACGTATTTTTTCAAAGTATCTTAAGTCAGGTTGTGGCATGGGATGAATACACATTTATACGTACTGAGATATCGAGCCCATTTCCAAGAAAAGCAATAAAGAAAATTATATTGCTAGTATAATTTCCCCCTTAATAGAACAGAAGGCATTAAGGAAATTAAGGGAATCTTTACAACATTCATTGGGGTCTCAAAGGGCAGAAATATCACAAAAATGAGGACATTAATCATCCTTCATCGCTGGGCTCCCACATTTGATTTGCCGTCCTGAATTTGAGACTTCATTTAGGCATTAACACCCCATCCAAGGTTACATTAAACACCAAGTGCGACCACATCTGAAAACAAGACAGATGTACAAAACCACTCACATCACTCTGCATTTTGGCTGCCTTCATAGAGTGTAGCATCTTAGGGTCATCATTAACGCTGAGGGCTCCAATCATTTTCCCTTTGTTTTTTTCATAGTCTTTCTTGTACATCACCTACAAAGACATCACACATGCCAGGTCCTGCTCATCAGGGAACATCACTGAGCCCCCCTGCCCGGGTCCCCAGGCCATACTCACATCACTAGCATTCTTGCTGTTGGCTTTGGCTGCCAGCAGGGGAATGGCATCCACTTTAATGTCAAACTTCTTAGCTTTGCTCTTCTCCCAGTCGTACTTATAAATGTTCTGGATAGGGAAATTTCAGCAAAGGAAATCGGCAAAAATGATATGCCTATTATTACACTTTAAAGACTAAAAGATAACCTAATCCCTTGTCTTAATATAAAATAAATAGACCCTTTTTCTTGTAAATGAAATCATGCATATTTAAATAATTCCCTTTAAGCTGAAGCTTCTAGTTCTCCAAGATTAAGCTTCTCTACCCTCCATTAGAATATTTCATCAAATTAAGTTACTTCTACTTATCATATAATATTTGATTCCTAATACTTAATATTTTATATAGAATGACACAAATATCTTATAGCTTACTCTTATGCTATGAAGACATCACTTTCATTTGATCTCAAAGTCCTCTGCAAAGGTTATTTCATGAATCATTACAATACTCATTGATGCTGGATAATTTATACTTATTTCTAGAATTGTTGAAGAAATTGAAACTCCCAAGGGTAATTTGACTTTTCTATAAAATTATGTTTGGAAATGAAAGCTAGCAATGGATAACTGGCCTTATGCCTTTTGAATACCCTATATCTTCATTAGTGCAAGTACTCATACATGTAGAAATAAGTATCATTTTATGTGACATAGGGAATGTTATAGGCTTGGGGAATACATAAAATTAAGTCGAATCTTAAAAAATCCAATCCTGAAAGAAAATTAATTATAGTATAGTATAAATGAATATATGACTAAAAGACCTAACATTAAGATTTACAATTTGGCGACAATATGAATGGATCTTGAGATTGTCACTCTAAGTAAGCAAAATAAGTCAGAAAAAGCTGAGAACCACATGACTTCACTCATATGTGGGATATAAAACTAAAAGCAACAAATGAACAAGACAAACAAACAAACAAACACTCATAGACACAGATGAGACTTTAGTGGTTACCAGAGGGTAAAGAGGGTGGGCAGATGTGGCAGAAAAGGGTGTCAAATACACGGCAATGGAAGGAGAACTGACTCTGGGAGGTGAACACACAATGCAGTATTATAGATGATAATATTATAAAAGTGTATACTTGAAATCTATGTAATTTTACTAACCAATGTCACCCCAATAATTTTAGTAAGAATTTTTAAAAAGATTCACAATTAAACACACATGAATGGTGGCATTTTGAAGGTTGGTTAAAATATATTAAGATTGCCTAATTGCATGAATCTACTTACAAGATCGCTACACATATTTTATAAGGTGAATTCAAAGTTACATTGGCAGAGGCTTAGGAACATGACACAAACGTTAACTGTTCTTCCAATCTTTAACATTGAAATATTTATTCAATGAAATAACTAAAAAATAAAAGTCCCTGTGGTCAGTGAATCACATGGCATAGTGCGCGTAAGGAACTTACATCACTGAGGTTATAAGCATTGACTTTGTGCTGGATTAAGGCAGGAGTATCTGGAGGTATGTGACACTTAAACTTTTCACTTTCATGTTTCGCTTTGTAATTTAGCTGAGAGAGAGAGAGAGAGAGAGAGAGAGAGAGAGAGAGAGAGAGAGAGAGAACTAGTTAGTTCTAAAGAAGAATTGTTCTAAAATACAAAAAGAAACTTAAGTTGTAGGTTTCATAAGATAAACTGTAAAATACGTTTTGTTAAATAACAACTGACAAAGTTGTCAAGATTAAAAGAGAAATCCAGGGCTAGGGTGCGCCATGCTGTTTTATTAACAACTTGTGTGCTCAACACGTGACTGCTGTTGTCACATCTGTTACCACTGTGGGACCCTAATGGAAGGAAGTACCTCTTTCATAGACGGTCCCCTTCACCCATATCACCCATATCAGAACCCTATGGATTGAGAGTGACAGCCCTTTCCTCCTTTTCATTGTCATTTCTCACTGGAGAATCTTGTCTAGCAAAAATGGTTATGTCCTCTCACATACATGTTGATACTCTAATTAAAGCCTTCATTTCTAGCCATAAATCTCCTGAGGTTACTTTGTTTAATTTTTTAGTTCAACCCAAGTTTGGAAATTCATACTTAAAACTCATATGGTAAACATCTCGAACATTCCATTTGCCAAAAACTTTTTTGAGAGAAAGAAATCTCATATGTTGAATACCTATTCTGGGCCAAGGTGTGTGCTATGCACATATCTCCTTTCACTTAATCTTCAAAACAACCGTAAATTTTGAAAGGGAAATATGAGATGTAGAAAGGTTAAATTATTTGCCCAGACAGTGCTGGAATTTGAATCCAGTTTTATCTGAACTGAGAACTCATGTTCTTCACAGTGCATTATGCTACATTACCTTCCCTTATAAAACTATTTACTATAATTATTATTTACCCAAGAAGATGCAAGCCATCTAAATAGGAAAGTATTTTAGTTGATTACATATATAAATACTAGTTAAACTTGCTAAAACTTACATAGCCTTTTTTGTAAATGTGACAAATTACTAGATTTTCTGTATAGAGTTATGCTACATTATCCCTCATAATTGGATTTCCTGGATATTTAGAGGAACTTACGTCACTCAGTTGTTTGGAATTAACTTGGGCTTGCACCAGAACAGGCGAGTCAGTTACTTGAGTGAATTTTGTCTTATCTGGTTGGACTTTATAGGTGTGCTGTGGGGAAGAAAAGGAATCAGGTTTAGCAATATCACTTGTCAAATCCACGTTGGCCTATAGGACAAGTGAGCAGAACCCCATCCCCCCAAAGAAAAGATACCTGTAGTTAATAAAACACATTGTGTTTTTTTTTAATTAGATTGCAGTGTCTTTGAGAGATGTTCCTATCTGTATAAGAAACTTTATCTGTACAAGAAACTTTCCCATATTTTCAGATGTTAACTCTTCTTTGGGAAAATGAACTAGAATTAGATCTTGAAATGTATGGATGATAATAGAAAAAAATAATATATCTACTATAAAATAAATATTCTTTGTTACAATCTTTTTTTTTCTTGCTTGCATGTATGTGTAAAAGTGTCAAAATATTAAACATATCTTGGTCACTAGATGCTGTGGAGGGCAGTAACGTCTACAGGTCATACTACAGACTTACATCTTTACACTGATTCAGTTTCTTGATGGTTTCATATTCTTGAGTTATGGTATGGGGGAAAAAGCCTTTGCCTCTGTCCTCTTCATATTCTGCTTTGTAGTTTTTCTGTGAGGAAAGATAATCAGACATAAGGATGCAAGAACCATTGCACTTATACCCTAAAAATGTGGTATTTGTCTTAGAACTTACGTCACTGTTTTGAGCTGTGACTTTCATGCAGTGTGTATAATGTGGATCCTCAAAGCTGCCTACATAATGTCCCAAAATATTCTTTAAATAGGAATCTTTGTAGTTTTTCTGAAAGACAAAACATATTTCATTTATTTGTTTGTGAAACAAGGCGTCTTTTCTTGAACAGGAGGGAGTGGTCATAGGATGGCTTACATCACTGCTGAATTTGTGCAGAACCGAGTCAAGCTGAAATTTGGGAGTCTCGCAGTAATTTATGCTCTTTGCCTTTGTCTTCTCATAGTTCTCCTTGTACAATTTCTGTAAAAAAAATCAGTGAAAGTTAATTGCTGTCACTCCCACACTGATTATAACACTTGTATTTTCCAACACTAAACAAAAGAAGAAGAAAAAAGATACCACCTATCAACTGTCTTAAAAACTGACAATCAGCTATGTGGGTGTCATGAATGATAAACCTTTTCTATTAGCAATTATTGTAAAGCCAAAGTGTGTAACAATCTTCAAAAAATTAAGAAATCAATTTGTTTCCTCAGACCAAGTCCTTAGTTGAAGAGATTCACGTCTGTCTCTGAAATGCTGCCTTCTCCATCTCCCAACTCACATACTCTTCCCTCACTGATGGGGTCCCAACAAACAGGAATATTCTGAGTAGCACTGAATTTTTATTTTTATTTTTAAACAAACCTTCATGAAAAATTTTAGTAAACATTAAGAAATACATATTCTCTCTTCCTCCTTCTACCAAAGAAAAATTCTTTATTGTACCTTAAAAATAAGAACACACAAGAACTCAAATCATGCATCTACTAACTCCTCTCCTCTGCTAGAATTTACCTTTAGCTCTAACAATAACAATAAACAATTATTGGATTTTCAGTGAACAACTGAGAAAGCAGATCATTGTCACTTTTTCATGTTGGGTTTTGAAATTGTAAATGGTTTACATTTTATTTTTAATATTTTTACATTCCTGTCTTTATCAGCCAAGTGGATCTAAACCTGGGCTTTTATGCTTGATAAAGATGGCCTTCATTTAGGAAGCAGGAGACGTGCTGTGCATTGATTTCTCTGCAGAGCTATTTAGACAAATCCATTTACATTCTCTCACCTGCCACTTCACTCACCCCACTTCTGTCACATGTACTCATTTCTCCAGTGCTAGCTTAATCCAAGGGACAAAGAAAAGATTATGAGCTCGCACAGAGAGCCACATAAAGTCCTCAAATATTGGGAAAGCTTAATCCAACCTAACCATAAGGGAAAAACTCAACTGATCACATGTTCAGTCTCTTTATATATGTATAGTCAAAGTGCTCTTGGGCTGTTAGTCTTTTAATGCCAGGCTTAGTTCTCACTTATCTAATCTATTTTAAATCTAGTGGATTAGTCAAGCTCTTAATAATTCCACAAGTAGAAATTCCTGTGAAGACTTGGGGAGCCATTTTACAAGTTCTGCTATCTGCAAATGATGGTTTCTGGGGCCAAGATCTGAGGAGAAAATGGCAGACATGGGGAGAAAAGTCATACAACACAGGACCTTTTCCTTCTTCTCCCAGCAGCAGGCCTGAAGAACTCAAGGCCAGAGAGCTAATACTGCTGCATCTCTCTCTCTCCTCCCCTTTCAAAGCCTCCTTCTGCCTCTGTTAACATCACAGCACATCTCATACAGTGCATACTAGCTTTGGCCGCACAGGCATCTGAAGCCCACAAGCAAATAAGGATTTCTCTGCCCATTGAACTAAATCCACAGTCCCCCTCTCCTCAAACTGACACACATCATATTCAGAGGCACTTCCTGTGGATAGATGGTTCCAGGGAACCGCTACACCATAATTTTAAAGTACTTGCAAAGTTATGTTTGCATTTAGTCATTATAAAAGGAGAGAGATTTCATCTCTCTTGTAACTAAGGTTAAAACAACACTTTTGACAAGACTATACTTACGTCACTTAGGGTATTTCCTGCTTTCATCAGCTGCTTGAGCAGTGGGTTCTCTGAAGCAGGAAGCACATTATAATCTGCTTTTGACTTATTCTTTTCATAGTCTTCTGTGTATTTTATCTGTAGGTGTGATATAAAGTGATAAAGTAACTCTCCGGGTTATTTTTGTTCTCATCGCTATTATGAATATTGTAATGTAGTTCCACAAATCAATTTTCTCTTTAGAAAAATGGCAGTTTGACATGTTATAAACAAAATACTCATAGTAACTCATAACAGTAGCAGAGAAACTGTATCAATTTCCAAGGTATCTTTTTGTTCTCATTCATTTAGTCATTCAAAAATATCCACTACGATATTTTTGAGTATTTATTATATTCCAGGCACTGGGACACATACAAGAAAGAATAGCACATAATCCCTGCTCTCAAAGATAGAAATAGATAGATACATAAATAATGGCAGAGAGGACGATCCATGAATGAGGACAGCGCATCATGCTGCTCCAGAGCCCTCATTCAGCTCTTCACCGTCGGCTGCCTACCTGCCAACACGTTTTTAAAGAAAGAAAGCTGAGGGCGGCCGGTTAGCTCAGTTGGTTAGAGCACGGTGCTCATTATAGCAAGGTTGCCAGTTTCATTCCCACCTGGGCCACTGAGCTGCGCCCTCCACAACCAGATTGAAAACAACTACTTGACTTGGAGCTGATGGGTCCCGTGAAAACACACTGTTTCCCCAATTAAAAAAGAAAGAAAGAAAGAAAGAAAGAAAGAAAGAAAGAAAGAAAGAAAGAAAGAAAGAAAGAAAGAAAGAAAGAAAAAGAAAGAAAGAAAGCTGGAAGCATCATGAATCTACCCTTTTATGCCTCATCTGTGACTCTGTGTGTGTGTGTGTGTGTGTGTGTGTGTGTGTGTGTGTGTGAAGGTGAAGAAGGAAGGGCTAGGGGCTGGACAAATGGTGGCAACTTCAAGTTTTCCTTCTGCCCTTCCCACTTTGCACCTTTAATTCCAGCTATGGCAGAAGATTTATATGAGGGCTCAAAAGCCTCTGTCAGGAGTGTGTCCAAAGGGAGGAAAACAAGAAACTGACCCTGGTTCTGACACATCCCCAGGGCCAGCCATTTACTCAGCAAATATAACTATAGAATATAGGCAAGTTCAAAGAATCCTAGATAATCTACCAACATTTAAGAACCTCAGAAAACAAATACAATCATCTAGGTATCCAAACGCAGGATATGCACAACTGAAAAACAGATGTGCCACCCCCTACAGCCCACAGAGAGGACTCACAGGGGATAATGTATAGGAATGGAAGACACAGATAACCTCTCCATCTCATAGAATTACATATTTCATTGAAAAGTGGAAGCAGCCGGAAATTCCACAGACCTTACTGGCCCCCTACCTGCAGCTGAGATATGCAGCCTCTTGTCCCGTTTATGGATGAGTCAGGGCGTGTGGCAAAGCCGTCCCCTCCTCTAAGCACCGGATCCTCTCCCCTTTCACCTCTTCAGGACATTGCTCCGGCCCCTCCTGCCCCCTCCAACATCATCACATTTTCCCTCTACACTAGATTGCTATCCTTCAGCATATAAACATGGTGTTTTTGTCTTCTATCTTTAAAAAATCCCCTCTTCATTCACCTCTCCAGCAGCTACTATGCCATTTCCTTCTTTCCTTTTCAGGAAAATACTTGGAAAGAGTTGAATATACTTATATTCTTATATTCCTCTCATGAACCCTCTCTAAGCAGACTCAACCAAATTGTTCTTGTGCAATTCATCAGAGACTGGCCATACATTGATAAATCCATTTCAGAAATATGTGACATAGTTGATTACTTCCTTCTCTTTTCACTTGCTTCCCAAGAAAGCACTCTCTAGCGACTTTGCTCCTACCTCATCTTGTTAATGTCTTCACCTGGAAGCACTCCCAAAATTCAGTCCTTAGAGCTTTCTGTCTACACTCGCTCCCTGATGGCCTCCACCCTTACAACATTAAATGTTATTCATATGCTGATAACTCCCAAATTTATACAACCTTCCCAGATATCTCCCCTGAAACTTCAGACTCATATACAATCAACTGCCACTTGACATTTCCACTTGGATGTCTAAATAAGGCATCTCAAATCTTACATCTGTGAAGCTCATGTCACTCCTCCAAAAAAAAAATTATCCACTGCTTCCAGTCTTCCCTATCTTGATAAAGGGAAACACTACCCTTCTGGTTGTTTAGACCAAAACTCCCCTCTCATATCCCACATCCAAGCCATCAGCAGTAAATCACGTCAGCTCTGCTTTTCAAAATACTTCTCATCACTTGTCCTGCTACCTTCCTGGCCCAAAACATCACTGTCTTGAACCTGGATACTGAAATAGTCCCCTGAGTGATGTGATCTTCCTGCCTCCACTCCTCCAGCAGAGCCAAGGCCCAGGTTAGAATCAAGTCTGACTGGCTTTGAAGTTTATGCTCTTTCTAGTGCCCAACCTGCTTTAGAATGCCAAGGAGTCCAGTGATTTACCAAAGTCACTTTATAGAGTATACAAGCATATCCATGGATTCACGTATCCTGTCAGTGACTAGATTTTCACCAGTTAATAGGAATATAAGAAAAATAATGGGGGCCGGCTGAGTGGCACCTTGGTTGGGAGCTGGCTTGGGATGCCGGAGGGCCCCGGTTCGGATCCCACATGTGAGGGCCGGGACACTGCCCTCCACAGCTAAGATGCTCAACAACAGCTCATCCTGGAGCTGGGCTGCCATGAGTTGCCGGCGACGGCATAGGCTGCAGCCCCTGCTGCAGTGGGTTGCCATGGGCTACCGTGTGTAGCCAGCAGCCNGGAATGGCATCCACTTTAATGTCAAACTTCTTAGCTTTGCTCTTCTCCCAGTCGTACTTATAAATGTTCTGGATAGGGAAATTTCAGCAAAGGAAATCGGCAAAAATGATATGCCTATTATTACACTTTAAAGACTAAAAGATAACCTAATCCCTTGTCTTAATATAAAATAAATAGACCCTTTTTCTTGTAAATGAAATCATGCATATTTAAATAATTCCCTTTAAGCTGAAGCTTCTAGTTCTCCAAGATTAAGCTTCTCTACCCTCCATTAGAATATTTCATCAAATTAAGTTACTTCTACTTATCATATAATATTTGATTCCTAATACTTAATATTTTATATAGAATGACACAAATATCTTATAGCTTACTCTTATGCTATGAAGACATCACTTTCATTTGATCTCAAAGTCCTCTGCAAAGGTTATTTCATGAATCATTACAATACTCATTGATGCTGGATAATTTATACTTATTTCTAGAATTGTTGAAGAAATTGAAACTCCCAAGGGTAATTTGACTTTTCTATAAAATTATGTTTGGAAATGAAAGCTAGCAATGGATAACTGGCCTTATGCCTTTTGAATACCCTATATCTTCATTAGTGCAAGTACTCATACATGTAGAAATAAGTATCATTTTATGTGACATAGGGAATGTTATAGGCTTGGGGAATACATAAAATTAAGTCGAATCTTAAAAAATCCAATCCTGAAAGAAAATTAATTATAGTATAGTATAAATGAATATATGACTAAAAGACCTAACATTAAGATTTACAATTTGGCGACAATATGAATGGATCTTGAGATTGTCACTCTAAGTAAGCAAAATAAGTCAGAAAAAGCTGAGAACCACATGACTTCACTCATATGTGGGATATAAAACTAAAAGCAACAAATGAACAAGACAAACAAACAAACAAACACTCATAGACACAGATGAGACTTTAGTGGTTACCAGAGGGTAAAGAGGGTGGGCAGATGTGGCAGAAAAGGGTGTCAAATACACGGCAATGGAAGGAGAACTGACTCTGGGAGGTGAACACACAATGCAGTATTATAGATGATAATATTATAAAAGTGTATACTTGAAATCTATGTAATTTTACTAACCAATGTCACCCCAATAATTTTAGTAAGAATTTTTAAAAAGATTCACAATTAAACACACATGAATGGTGGCATTTTGAAGGTTGGTTAAAATATATTAAGATTGCCTAATTGCATGAATCTACTTACAAGATCGCTACACATATTTTATAAGGTGAATTCAAAGTTACATTGGCAGAGGCTTAGGAACATGACACAAACGTTAACTGTTCTTCCAATCTTTAACATTGAAATATTTATTCAATGAAATAACTAAAAAATAAAAGTCCCTGTGGTCAGTGAATCACATGGCATAGTGCGCGTAAGGAACTTACATCACTGAGGTTATAAGCATTGACTTTGTGCTGGATTAAGGCAGGAGTATCTGGAGGTATGTGACACTTAAACTTTTCACTTTCATGTTTCGCTTTGTAATTTAGCTGAGAGAGAGAGAGAGAGAGAGAGAGAGAGAGAGAGAGAGAGAGAGAGAGAACTAGTTAGTTCTAAAGAAGAATTGTTCTAAAATACAAAAAGAAACTTAAGTTGTAGGTTTCATAAGATAAACTGTAAAATACGTTTTGTTAAATAACAACTGACAAAGTTGTCAAGATTAAAAGAGAAATCCAGGGCTAGGGTGCGCCATGCTGTTTTATTAACAACTTGTGTGCTCAACACGTGACTGCTGTTGTCACATCTGTTACCACTGTGGGACCCTAATGGAAGGAAGTACCTCTTTCATAGACGGTCCCCTTCACCCATATCACCCATATCAGAACCCTATGGATTGAGAGTGACAGCCCTTTCCTCCTTTTCATTGTCATTTCTCACTGGAGAATCTTGTCTAGCAAAAATGGTTATGTCCTCTCACATACATGTTGATACTCTAATTAAAGCCTTCATTTCTAGCCATAAATCTCCTGAGGTTACTTTGTTTAATTTTTTAGTTCAACCCAAGTTTGGAAATTCATACTTAAAACTCATATGGTAAACATCTCGAACATTCCATTTGCCAAAAACTTTTTTGAGAGAAAGAAATCTCATATGTTGAATACCTATTCTGGGCCAAGGTGTGTGCTATGCACATATCTCCTTTCACTTAATCTTCAAAACAACCGTAAATTTTGAAAGGGAAATATGAGATGTAGAAAGGTTAAATTATTTGCCCAGACAGTGCTGGAATTTGAATCCAGTTTTATCTGAACTGAGAACTCATGTTCTTCACAGTGCATTATGCTACATTACCTTCCCTTATAAAACTATTTACTATAATTATTATTTACCCAAGAAGATGCAAGCCATCTAAATAGGAAAGTATTTTAGTTGATTACATATATAAATACTAGTTAAACTTGCTAAAACTTACATAGCCTTTTTTGTAAATGTGACAAATTACTAGATTTTCTGTATAGAGTTATGCTACATTATCCCTCATAATTGGATTTCCTGGATATTTAGAGGAACTTACGTCACTCAGTTGTTTGGAATTAACTTGGGCTTGCACCAGAACAGGCGAGTCAGTTACTTGAGTGAATTTTGTCTTATCTGGTTGGACTTTATAGGTGTGCTGTGGGGAAGAAAAGGAATCAGGTTTAGCAATATCACTTGTCAAATCCACGTTGGCCTATAGGACAAGTGAGCAGAACCCCATCCCCCCAAAGAAAAGATACCTGTAGTTAATAAAACACATTGTGTTTTTTTTTAATTAGATTGCAGTGTCTTTGAGAGATGTTCCTATCTGTATAAGAAACTTTATCTGTACAAGAAACTTTCCCATATTTTCAGATGTTAACTCTTCTTTGGGAAAATGAACTAGAATTAGATCTTGAAATGTATGGATGATAATAGAAAAAAATAATATATCTACTATAAAATAAATATTCTTTGTTACAATCTTTTTTTTTCTTGCTTGCATGTATGTGTAAAAGTGTCAAAATATTAAACATATCTTGGTCACTAGATGCTGTGGAGGGCAGTAACGTCTACAGGTCATACTACAGACTTACATCTTTACACTGATTCAGTTTCTTGATGGTTTCATATTCTTGAGTTATGGTATGGGGGAAAAAGCCTTTGCCTCTGTCCTCTTCATATTCTGCTTTGTAGTTTTTCTGTGAGGAAAGATAATCAGACATAAGGATGCAAGAACCATTGCACTTATACCCTAAAAATGTGGTATTTGTCTTAGAACTTACGTCACTGTTTTGAGCTGTGACTTTCATGCAGTGTGTATAATGTGGATCCTCAAAGCTGCCTACATAATGTCCCAAAATATTCTTTAAATAGGAATCTTTGTAGTTTTTCTGAAAGACAAAACATATTTCATTTATTTGTTTGTGAAACAAGGCGTCTTTTCTTGAACAGGAGGGAGTGGTCATAGGATGGCTTACATCACTGCTGAATTTGTGCAGAACCGAGTCAAGCTGAAATTTGGGAGTCTCGCAGTAATTTATGCTCTTTGCCTTTGTCTTCTCATAGTTCTCCTTGTACAATTTCTGTAAAAAAAATCAGTGAAAGTTAATTGCTGTCACTCCCACACTGATTATAACACTTGTATTTTCCAACACTAAACAAAAGAAGAAGAAAAAAGATACCACCTATCAACTGTCTTAAAAACTGACAATCAGCTATGTGGGTGTCATGAATGATAAACCTTTTCTATTAGCAATTATTGTAAAGCCAAAGTGTGTAACAATCTTCAAAAAATTAAGAAATCAATTTGTTTCCTCAGACCAAGTCCTTAGTTGAAGAGATTCACGTCTGTCTCTGAAATGCTGCCTTCTCCATCTCCCAACTCACATACTCTTCCCTCACTGATGGGGTCCCAACAAACAGGAATATTCTGAGTAGCACTGAATTTTTATTTTTATTTTTAAACAAACCTTCATGAAAAATTTTAGTAAACATTAAGAAATACATATTCTCTCTTCCTCCTTCTACCAAAGAAAAATTCTTTATTGTACCTTAAAAATAAGAACACACAAGAACTCAAATCATGCATCTACTAACTCCTCTCCTCTGCTAGAATTTACCTTTAGCTCTAACAATAACAATAAACAATTATTGGATTTTCAGTGAACAACTGAGAAAGCAGATCATTGTCACTTTTTCATGTTGGGTTTTGAAATTGTAAATGGTTTACATTTTATTTTTAATATTTTTACATTCCTGTCTTTATCAGCCAAGTGGATCTAAACCTGGGCTTTTATGCTTGATAAAGATGGCCTTCATTTAGGAAGCAGGAGACGTGCTGTGCATTGATTTCTCTGCAGAGCTATTTAGACAAATCCATTTACATTCTCTCACCTGCCACTTCACTCACCCCACTTCTGTCACATGTACTCATTTCTCCAGTGCTAGCTTAATCCAAGGGACAAAGAAAAGATTATGAGCTCGCACAGAGAGCCACATAAAGTCCTCAAATATTGGGAAAGCTTAATCCAACCTAACCATAAGGGAAAAACTCAACTGATCACATGTTCAGTCTCTTTATATATGTATAGTCAAAGTGCTCTTGGGCTGTTAGTCTTTTAATGCCAGGCTTAGTTCTCACTTATCTAATCTATTTTAAATCTAGTGGATTAGTCAAGCTCTTAATAATTCCACAAGTAGAAATTCCTGTGAAGACTTGGGGAGCCATTTTACAAGTTCTGCTATCTGCAAATGATGGTTTCTGGGGCCAAGATCTGAGGAGAAAATGGCAGACATGGGGAGAAAAGTCATACAACACAGGACCTTTTCCTTCTTCTCCCAGCAGCAGGCCTGAAGAACTCAAGGCCAGAGAGCTAATACTGCTGCATCTCTCTCTCTCCTCCCCTTTCAAAGCCTCCTTCTGCCTCTGTTAACATCACAGCACATCTCATACAGTGCATACTAGCTTTGGCCGCACAGGCATCTGAAGCCCACAAGCAAATAAGGATTTCTCTGCCCATTGAACTAAATCCACAGTCCCCCTCTCCTCAAACTGACACACATCATATTCAGAGGCACTTCCTGTGGATAGATGGTTCCAGGGAACCGCTACACCATAATTTTAAAGTACTTGCAAAGTTATGTTTGCATTTAGTCATTATAAAAGGAGAGAGATTTCATCTCTCTTGTAACTAAGGTTAAAACAACACTTTTGACAAGACTATACTTACGTCACTTAGGGTATTTCCTGCTTTCATCAGCTGCTTGAGCAGTGGGTTCTCTGAAGCAGGAAGCACATTATAATCTGCTTTTGACTTATTCTTTTCATAGTCTTCTGTGTATTTTATCTGTAGGTGTGATATAAAGTGATAAAGTAACTCTCCGGGTTATTTTTGTTCTCATCGCTATTATGAATATTGTAATGTAGTTCCACAAATCAATTTTCTCTTTAGAAAAATGGCAGTTTGACATGTTATAAACAAAATACTCATAGTAACTCATAACAGTAGCAGAGAAACTGTATCAATTTCCAAGGTATCTTTTTGTTCTCATTCATTTAGTCATTCAAAAATATCCACTACGATATTTTTGAGTATTTATTATATTCCAGGCACTGGGACACATACAAGAAAGAATAGCACATAATCCCTGCTCTCAAAGATAGAAATAGATAGATACATAAATAATGGCAGAGAGGACGATCCATGAATGAGGACAGCGCATCATGCTGCTCCAGAGCCCTCATTCAGCTCTTCACCGTCGGCTGCCTACCTGCCAACACGTTTTTAAAGAAAGAAAGCTGAGGGCGGCCGGTTAGCTCAGTTGGTTAGAGCACGGTGCTCATTATAGCAAGGTTGCCAGTTTCATTCCCACCTGGGCCACTGAGCTGCGCCCTCCACAACCAGATTGAAAACAACTACTTGACTTGGAGCTGATGGGTCCCGTGAAAACACACTGTTTCCCCAATTAAAAAAGAAAGAAAGAAAGAAAGAAAGAAAGAAAGAAAGAAAGAAAGAAAGAAAGAAAGAAAGAAAGAAAGAAAGAAAAAGAAAGAAAGAAAGCTGGAAGCATCATGAATCTACCCTTTTATGCCTCATCTGTGACTCTGTGTGTGTGTGTGTGTGTGTGTGTGTGTGTGTGTGTGTGTGAAGGTGAAGAAGGAAGGGCTAGGGGCTGGACAAATGGTGGCAACTTCAAGTTTTCCTTCTGCCCTTCCCACTTTGCACCTTTAATTCCAGCTATGGCAGAAGATTTATATGAGGGCTCAAAAGCCTCTGTCAGGAGTGTGTCCAAAGGGAGGAAAACAAGAAACTGACCCTGGTTCTGACACATCCCCAGGGCCAGCCATTTACTCAGCAAATATAACTATAGAATATAGGCAAGTTCAAAGAATCCTAGATAATCTACCAACATTTAAGAACCTCAGAAAACAAATACAATCATCTAGGTATCCAAACGCAGGATATGCACAACTGAAAAACAGATGTGCCACCCCCTACAGCCCACAGAGAGGACTCACAGGGGATAATGTATAGGAATGGAAGACACAGATAACCTCTCCATCTCATAGAATTACATATTTCATTGAAAAGTGGAAGCAGCCGGAAATTCCACAGACCTTACTGGCCCCCTACCTGCAGCTGAGATATGCAGCCTCTTGTCCCGTTTATGGATGAGTCAGGGCGTGTGGCAAAGCCGTCCCCTCCTCTAAGCACCGGATCCTCTCCCCTTTCACCTCTTCAGGACATTGCTCCGGCCCCTCCTGCCCCCTCCAACATCATCACATTTTCCCTCTACACTAGATTGCTATCCTTCAGCATATAAACATGGTGTTTTTGTCTTCTATCTTTAAAAAATCCCCTCTTCATTCACCTCTCCAGCAGCTACTATGCCATTTCCTTCTTTCCTTTTCAGGAAAATACTTGGAAAGAGTTGAATATACTTATATTCTTATATTCCTCTCATGAACCCTCTCTAAGCAGACTCAACCAAATTGTTCTTGTGCAATTCATCAGAGACTGGCCATACATTGATAAATCCATTTCAGAAATATGTGACATAGTTGATTACTTCCTTCTCTTTTCACTTGCTTCCCAAGAAAGCACTCTCTAGCGACTTTGCTCCTACCTCATCTTGTTAATGTCTTCACCTGGAAGCACTCCCAAAATTCAGTCCTTAGAGCTTTCTGTCTACACTCGCTCCCTGATGGCCTCCACCCTTACAACATTAAATGTTATTCATATGCTGATAACTCCCAAATTTATACAACCTTCCCAGATATCTCCCCTGAAACTTCAGACTCATATACAATCAACTGCCACTTGACATTTCCACTTGGATGTCTAAATAAGGCATCTCAAATCTTACATCTGTGAAGCTCATGTCACTCCTCCAAAAAAAAAATTATCCACTGCTTCCAGTCTTCCCTATCTTGATAAAGGGAAACACTACCCTTCTGGTTGTTTAGACCAAAACTCCCCTCTCATATCCCACATCCAAGCCATCAGCAGTAAATCACGTCAGCTCTGCTTTTCAAAATACTTCTCATCACTTGTCCTGCTACCTTCCTGGCCCAAAACATCACTGTCTTGAACCTGGATACTGAAATAGTCCCCTGAGTGATGTGATCTTCCTGCCTCCACTCCTCCAGCAGAGCCAAGGCCCAGGTTAGAATCAAGTCTGACTGGCTTTGAAGTTTATGCTCTTTCTAGTGCCCAACCTGCTTTAGAATGCCAAGGAGTCCAGTGATTTACCAAAGTCACTTTATAGAGTATACAAGCATATCCATGGATTCACGTATCCTGTCAGTGACTAGATTTTCACCAGTTAATAGGAATATAAGAAAAATAATGGGGGCCGGCTGAGTGGCACCTTGGTTGGGAGCTGGCTTGGGATGCCGGAGGGCCCCGGTTCGGATCCCACATGTGAGGGCCGGGACACTGCCCTCCACAGCTAAGATGCTCAACAACAGCTCATCCTGGAGCTGGGCTGCCATGAGTTGCCGGCGACGGCATAGGCTGCAGCCCCTGCTGCAGTGGGTTGCCATGGGCTACCGTGTGTAGCCAGCAGCCAGCATGAGCGGCCAGCAGCCGCTGTGAGCGGCAGTCCAGAAGCCGGCGACTGCTCTGCCTTGCCTGGGAAGAGTGCAATGATGGTGCCAACATGGGCCAGTGAAGCAACGTCCTCCACAACTAGACTGAAGAACAAAAGAACAGCAACTTGTCTGTTCCCCTTCCCCCAATTCCCCAGTGCTGTTCCCATCCCCCAATTCCCCAATTTAAAAAAAAAATCTTAAAAGAAAAAAAAGAAAAATAATGGTAGTGATGAGTATGAGAGTGTCTATGTTCACGTAGGGCTACAAATTGTTTTTTTTTAAGGGGTCTCAAGACCCCTGTTCTGTTTTCTGTCTGAGATTATAGCCTTTCTACTTTAGGGTATCAAAGGTCATTTATGAAATATTGAAGGTGGTAATTGGGATTTGTTGATGTTCATACATGGCAAAATTTTTTAAAAATTTGGTAGCCCTATGATAACAGCGAAGTACTTCTTGTCTCCTAAGAACTGTATTGTTTTGTTGTTGTTTTTTTCAAAATATGCAAAAGCAAGAGTTATAAAAAATTCACCCACACTGAGACCATCAGGATAAATGTATTTCCTTGTACCTTGCTAGCTGCCAGCCCAGCTTGTTTATTCACTTTGTATTGTGGTGTTTCGGTCTGCATGAAGTAGATCTGGTCTTTCATATTCTCAAAGTCTTGTTGGTATTTCCTCTGTAAGACATTAAACATACTGAAGAACTGCAGTGGCAACAAACTATGCAAGGCTTTTACACAGGAGGAGAGAAGTCATGTGGAGGAGTTATCCAAAGCTGCACTCCTCTTAGTTACCCAAGTTCTATTACAATGATAGCATGTGGTGCCATTACAAAAACGATTAGCAACTTAACAAAAATTTGGAGCAATTATAATAGGATAAAAGACAGACTCCAAGAAGGAGCTCTTGAAGTCCAGTCACAGAAAACTTAAGAGAAAAGAAAAAGAAGACGTATATTTTCCAAAGGAAAATCTGGGCAGAAACTAATCAGTATCATAAGTGTACTGTTTGGGTTCCCAGTAAAGAATAAATTAAGAAGGGCCCTTTTAACCTGTGCTCACTTTGAAACCATATTGTTCCTATGAAAATTGAGGAATCTAATCCAAATAATATTTCTCAAAAGGAAGAAAAGATGGTGAGATTTCTTTCTCAATGGGAACTCTATGGAAGCCTTGCCCCCAAGAAGAGGTGCCAGGACTTTTGAATGTTCAGGACTTCTGAATGTGCAGCAGGGGGCTAGGAATCATAAAGGAAGGGTACCCCTCTCAACCTAAGGATACCCAGCCATCCTTCTTACTTACTGTGCTGATGTTATTAGCATTCATCCTGGCGGTTGCAATTTCAAAGCAAGGTGTCTCACTCCATTTGCCTTTGATTTTATTTTCATAGTCTTGTTTGTATTTTTGCTAGGAGGAAAAAATAAGAAAAGTGGACTAGCAAAATCCAGGACTTGACAAATAAGACAGCAAAATTAAGTGGTAACTGACAACTTTCAAAAATATCTTGACTAGACCCTTCTTGGGTCCTTAATAGATGTCTTCGAATCTTCCAGTATAATGTTAATTTACCCAAAAAGAAAATTGAGTGAGGGAGATAGAGGTACTAATTTTTCCTCCCCTTACTGAGTTTGGGGACTTAATTCATTCCAAACTCACAGATGTTTCCTGATGTTTGAAGAAGGAGAGAGTCAGAAGCATCTTCCACTTGTAATTCATAATTATAATAAAACCACTCGACCTCAGATTTCCATGCCAGATTACCTTAACCATTAAATTCTGAGCTTTACCACAACCCCTAGTTATACAGAAAGCAATACCAAAACAAAATTGGCTTGCAGACCAATAAGTAAGACTTCCTAGTTTAGACTTAAATAAATTTTAGTAAAAACTGGCAGTAATTAAAAAATTAAACTGGTGTCCCATCTTACTCCCAAACACCACACCAGGCTGTGAGCTCCTTGGAGAGAGGAATTATGTCTTCTTCATTTTTGTATCCTCAACATCTAACACAAAATGTAGCATGCAGAACTTCCCTCATTAAGGTTTGCTCAACTACACTAAATTGAATTGATCCATGATATGTGGTTTCAAACTACCTCTACTTGAGTGTTCTTGAAATAGAATTAACCTAGTCAACCCCCTACCTGGGCACATGAGCCAGAGCCTGAGCTAGGTTAGACCAATTTCCCTTCTTTGGCTCACAGAATGTGTTCCATATAACCAATGTGTCTCAAGGTGTTTGCATGTCTAACATCCCATTACACTCTTCAAGGAAAAATAAAGTGGTTTTCTGGTACCTTTCACAGAACAAGTACCAAGGGTGACTGATGGGTAGAACCAGTGAGTTTGTGTTAAAGTTAAAGAAAGCCCAGCCCTCTCTCAAATGCCATATATCCTTTCTTCTCAAAAGGTTAATATGCTAATTAATAGCCAAGTGGTTTTCATAGCTATGAAGTTTAGTGCCCTGGACCTGAGTTGAGAAGCTCTGGGCCCAAGACTTAAGACTTAACGCCATCATTTCCAGAGTTGTGACTTAGCCTCTCTAAGTTTCAGTTTTCTAAACCACACGTGCTGGCAGTAATAATAATATTTACACAAAGGATTTGCGGAAGATCAAATAAGGTCATACACTGAAGAGTGCTTTGTAAACTCTACAGTGCTAAACAAATGTAAGGTATAATAACTGCAACAGAACAGAGAGTAAGAAACTCTAAAGAAAAGACAATTGTGTGTGTGTGTATTCTTCAATGGAAATTTTTGCTGGGGTAAAATTTACTTTATCCTGCCAATTAATCAGCCCACCCTCCTCTTTTGAAACTTTAAAGAATTGAAGTCAATCAAACTGATTTTTCAATTTCCTAAGGTAGCCTATAGAAGTGTTTCTAATCTTTTTGGAGAACAGACCTCATCTAAGAAAGCTGTAAAATGCCCATACATACTTATAACTTTAGAGGTTTTTGATGTACACAAACTCAAAGTTAAGATCTCCTAATCTGCATTTTTTTGTAGAGATACTGCCAACCCTCTGCTTGCTATCAAAGGAAGAAAACTGTAGGATTGGGAATGGTGAGCAACGGGACTAGATGCATCCCCAAATTGAGATATAGAGAACTTTGTGATATAATTTAAAGTTGAGAAGCCAGCAGATATTCTTAATGAGGACCAAAAGTGAGCTATTATACAGAAGTAAGAATCACATATATAGATTTGTTAAGCAAAATTGAGTAGGAGATGAATTCTCACAGTGAGAGACAGACATCTGACTTTTAAAAAGATATTAAGGGCCGGCGGAGTGGCGCAATGGTTAAGAACTGGCTTGGGACGCCAGAGGGCCCTGGTTTGGATCCCAAATATGAGGGCCAGTGACACTGCCCTCTACAGCTAAGATGCTGAACAACAGCTCAACCTGGAGCTGGGCTGCCGTG